TGGGGTGGATCATGGTGTTGTAAGGCTCCATGGGGAAGTCTTCTCTCTCAGCTTAGGTGGAGACTTTATGGTTTATTCTTCCAGGGGCATTTCCCTGAAGGATTCAAAGGGTTCCACAACTCCCCTAGTTTTTCTTGCTGTGGAGACTTCCCCAATGGACCTCTGCAGACACTTAACTAAACAGGGAAACATGAGTAAAACAATAAAAACAATGATTGCAACCCAAAAAATTCCTTTAACAAAGGGTGAAACCCATCCTGTCAACCCCCATTGTCCAAAAATACATTGATCCAATTTGAGTTCTCAACTTTTAATTCCTTTACTTGTGTGGATGGATTCTGAGTGTGAGGAAAGTTTGAGGGAGCACATCCCTTCAAAGTCTTGGCAGCCATGTGTGGGAAGTGGATTTGTAGGGAATTCTCCAAGCCTGACAGAGGGCTCACACAGTGCATCTGTGTGCAAACCTTGAGGTAAGAAATGCTGACTCAGAAATGCCCAGGAATAGGACAGACATTGTGGGGAGAGAAATAGAGCTAAAACAAGTTTCAAAGGATGGCCTTGCAAATAAGACTGGATACTTTGGAGAACAAAACTGTGAAAGATGCACTGTAGTGGGACCCACGAGGGGGCATTTTAGATGATTGGCTTTAAGGCATCTACATCATGGTGTGGCTAAAGCTGATAGGCCAAGAATCAATTATAGTGGATTGTAATTAGGAAATAATTGGCTTCTGGTTGTGCTGGTGTGAATTATAACATCTGTATTGTCTCACCCTTCTCGCGAGACTGAAAACGGAATAAAAGTTTTTAAAACACCTCTCAGTTGGCCCATCTCTGGGTCAGGAAAAGGGCAACACCAATGCCATGGGCAAGCAATAAAAAGTTACAGCAATGAAAAGTCTGTCACTCCTCACTTTTGCAGTGTTGTGTGCCTGGAAGTCTCAGTGTCACCAGGCAGGTCCCTGAGTGCAGAGCAGGTGACATTTGGTTCCTTGTTGAGCCAGCATTCCAAGTGAGAATGCTCACCCAGACCCTCAGCTGTGGCCACCCAAGGTAAAAATAGTGAGACCACAGCTCTCTTTCCTTTGTTCCAATTGTGAACAAAGTAATCCTGTGCCCCCAGGTTTAATTAATTAAGACTCACAAGATAATTGGTTTTTTTCCTCTCGTGGAGGTCTCCATAACATTAACAAGAAAAACTTCTCTCCCTAAGTAAACTAAATAAAGACTATTTTAAAAGTAGTAAGCTAACTGAAAATTTTACATTTTATTTCTTTACATTATCAGTGAAAAAATAAAGATTGTAGGAGAAAAATAAGTGTTCTAAAAGGTTTGTTTTAATTCTTACTACTTTTTTTTTCTTTTAGTTACTATTAATAAAATTTTCTTTATACCCTTGAAAGATTGTAGGAGAAAAAGAAGTGTTCTAAAAGGTTTAATTCTTACTACTTTTTTTTTCTTTTAGTTACTATTAATAAAATTTTCTTTATACCCTTTTAAAGTTTTAAACCTACTTTACCTTTCTCCTAATCCTATCTTCCTACCTCACAACAAAAAATAAGTACATGGCTAATTAACCAACACCAAAACATATCACACTCTTTAATACATTAAACCAAAAAAAAAATCTTAAAATTAAAGAAATCTTAAATTAACAACAAAAACCACTCCACAAAATTCATATTTCCACCCAGTTTCAAACTAAAACCACCACATTGACTATAGAAATTTTCATCAAATTCTGTGTATGATCTCTTTTGGTGTGCCAGTTCTCAGGGACAAGTGGGAATTTTTAATAAGATGGGATATTGGGAAGGAATTCCTGGCTGGGAGGGTGCCCAGAGAATCTGGGGATCCCTGGAAGTGTCCAAGGGGATTTGGGATGGGCTTTGGAGCACCCTGGGATAGTGGAAAGTGTCGCTGCCCAGCCCTGGATGATCTTTAAGTTCCTTTCCAAATCCATTCCATGATTCTAAATATTCAGTTTATCATTAAATATCATTATCCCTCGTGTTTGGGGAAGGGAGTTCTTATTTCCTTCAAACCCTTAGGAAATGTTGGAGCCAAAGCTGAGGTGCCATTATTGCTGTGGTGGAGCTGATGCACTGTGGAATAAACAGTGAATATTTCCATTTTCTGCCTGGTTGATATTTAAATTCAAGCTGTTGGAATATTAAGATGATCTTTGTTCAGTCTGAACACTGAGAGGGAAAATATTTGCTATTAGAATCTGAAGCAGAAAAAACTTTCAGAATTTTGAGCCTGTAAACCAAAATTTAGAATTAAACATAAGATTTAATCTGAAACCTTCAAAAAGGCTTCCAGACTTAGGTGCTAAAAGCAAAAATGTAAATTTATAGTTTAGAACAAAAACACGTTAAACTAAGTTAAAAAAAAGTTTAGAGTTTTAAAGTTTAAAATATAGAAAAAATAAAGTAACTGCAATAAGTAGACAAAGAATTTAAAATACAATACTATGAGTTTATGTGTTATAATTGACTAAGAAAACTTACACTGTAGTATAAGTCCATAAACCATAGTATTTCAAAATTAAGTTATAAATATCCATATAAACAGTGTTTTATTAGTCAATAACTCTTTAAAAAGTCTTATAACTAAAATTCTTGTAAACTTCTAAACCATACTAAAAATGTAAACCAAACTCACCCTTCCTACCTGTGTAAAAAATCAAAAAATAAACCACATCATCAAAAACAACTCAAAACTCCCATCTCAAATTCCTTCCAAAATTCCCCACAAGTAAATTACCACAATTTACCACTGGCCTGCTTTTTTGTAATTAACTCCTTTTATATCTCTAAATAGACAGAGAGGGTGTGGGCAAACACATGCCAAGCAATATAAATAGAAAGTTTCAAAGTCCAGCTTTCCAGAAATCTCCACAGTTCTTACAGCTCTTAAGGATTTTAATGCTGAAATAATATTCCTCATGTACCACGTGAGTAAAAGGCCCAAATATAACAGGTATCAAAAAAGTAACTCCAGAAATATGTGAAATAATGGTTTCTTTTTGGATTCTGGTTTTTATCATCCATTAAATGCAGCTCTGCCTGTGCTGGGGAGAGGAGGAGGGAAGTGAAGTGGCTCTGGGTGACACCTGTGTGTCTGCCAGGATAGGCTGACTTTGCTGTTTGCTGTTGTTGTAAATTCCCAACCTTTTTTCCTCTTGGGTAAATTTCCTGCCAGCTGCTCTCACTAAAAGGGTTTTATCTCCCTTTCCTGCTGAGGAGTGCTCAGGGTAAAGTCACCTGGTGTAGGTTTGTTCCAGGAAAGGTTATTCCACTTTCTGCTGCTTTTCCAAGTAAAACAGAAGAACCTCAAGTTGAAAAGAATTCCATAGGATAAAACCATGATTTCATTTTGGGAAGAGACAAGAATTTGCCTGATCCTGAAAATATCCCAAATGTGCACATGCTCTGGAACATCTGTGCTGGTTTACAGCTTCATTTTTCTGCCTCTGTCGAGGTCAGGATTGAAGGCACTCGAGACCACAGTTCACATTCTGGCTCAGGTGTTTATTATTTATTATACATGTTACAGTATCACAGCAGTGAGTTCTGCAGTATTTCACTAAGAAATCACAAAATGGAGCCCTGTCTCTCTCTCTACAAGGCCTTTTAAGGATAAGCTGTCCAATTAAGATGGCACCTAAATTATTTTTACTTTTAACCCAATACCCAACCACCCGTGCCCGCAATGGGGACTTTTTTATCCAATGCCACAAAACCAGGGAGAAGAAGGTGAAGAAGAAGGAGCAGCCTCCACCCTAAACCCTCCATCCTGCTTTATATCTATTACTGCATTCTAAACCCTTAAACTCTGAGTTTCCCACCCTGTGATATCACACACTTCTGTTCAAACTGCACACCCACAATCCCAGTTCTGTCATTCCATTTTGGAAGCTTCTCCAGGGCCTCAGGTCAGTGCAGTGTTCTCCTGGGGGTCCATGCCTGGCAGCACAGAAAGTCTGGAATTCTCAGCATCCAGGGTTCCAACACATCTGTTTGTGTTTGCCCATTGAGCAAAGCCTGCAGTGCCCTTGACTTGCAAATTTTCTTTTTGATTGTCTCTGACTTGAAGAGAAAACTGATTGATTTCCCTGCTGAATTGCTCTGGTGGCTCAAGGAAAGGAGTTCCTTTTCCCAAGAAGGGAGGCACAGTTTTTTCTAAAATTTTTCTAAATTTTTTTCAAATCTTATTTAAGTATTTGCTGCCCTAAACATCTTTTACTTGTACATGAATGCAGTGAGTTATCCAACTCAGTGAATGCAGCCACAGAGAATTCCAGATCAGAGGCTTTTATCCCATTTCATCATCTCCGCTTTGGTTGGAAGGTTTGTTATTTTTGTTTCAGATATTGGGAGAAAATTTGTTCCCTGTGAGGGAGGGGAGGCCCTGGCACAGGTTTTTCAGGGAAGCTGTGGGGTCCTCATCCCTGGAAGTGCCTAAGGCCAGGTTGGACAGGGCTTGGAGCAGCCTGGGACAGTGGAAGGTGCTGGAACAAGATGATCTTTAAGGTCCCTTCCAACCCATTCCACAATTCCCATGAAGGGAGATATGAGGAAAGAGAAATCTTTAATTCTTTCTTTATTCCCTAAAAGCTGAGATGCTCTTCTTGTCACTTCCCTTTTTCCCCTGAGATGGGATAATCTGGGATAATGGGATACCTTGTCCCAGTCCTGTTCTTTGACTTCCTGTTCCCTCCTCTAAGCAGACTCACACCAGGCTTTTCCAAATTTTCCATGGCTGATACCAAATGAAAACTCATCTGCAGAGTTCTGCTGTAACAAAATGCAGTTAGGAGTTCAAACTCTTCTCAACATTCTCCTCAAGCTTTAATAAACAGCTATTAGATATTTTATATTTCACATTATAACTATTTCTCCTCCTCTCCTTTCTCCTCAAGCTTTAATAAACAGCTATTAGATATTTTATATTTCACATTATAACTATTTCTCCTCCTCTCCTTTCTCCCCCAGGCTCTGCAGAGTAACTTGAAGTATTCTCTGCTGCCCAGAAGATTGATCATCAGTAAAAGATTATCCCAGTGCTTGCACCCAGCCCTGCCCAGTGGGGTGCACTTAAAGGCTTTAGAAACCTATGAAATAATCTTTAAAATCATTGGCACAAAATGGCTTGCCAAGGATTTATTCTTGTACAGGTAATTAGATTTTTTTTTCTAAGGCACAAAATGGCTCACTAAGAATTTCTTTTTGTACATGTAATTTTAATTTTTTTTTCCTAAGGCAAAACCATCTCAATCTATTCAAATTAACTCTCATTTTGTCTTTCTTTTGGATTCAAAGCTCTGGTTTGTTCCCTCTGCTGGCAAATGCAGCAATGTCAGTGAGACCTGTTCTCCTTGGCTTGTATGAGAAATATTTTCTCCCTCTGCAAAAATCCCTCCTGCCTGGTCTCCAGGCCTTTGTAATTGGGCTGCTGCCTGGCTTGGAAGAAGGATCAGAAATTTATGACAGGTAATATCAATTATTCCATATTCATTGAAGCAATATCCAGTATTTTGATTTTTAGGGAACTCTCAAGAAATTTCTATCAGATTTCTATACATAAAAGAACTTCTAAAGGGGGATGAATGGTGGGACCTGGAAAGATGTTGAAGTAGAAAAACCCATTCCTCTCTATTTTCATCCTAGGAGGAGAAGATAAGAGGAACATGAGGGTTAAAAAAAAGAGGAAAAGAAGGGTTTAAAAAAAGAGAAGAGGAAAAGGAGGGTTAAAAATAGAAATGCTGAGAGAAAAGAATAAAAAATTTCTTAAAGCTCCTCTGATTCCTAAATAATTCACCTGACTCCCCAAACCACTGCTCTGGAGATAAATTCTATTTGAATTCTGTAACATGAGAGAGCAGCTGAATTCTTTCCAATATTTCTGTATAATCTGGCAAAAATATGGAGCAGGGAGTTAAAGGGAATTGCAAATGAAATTTCAAGATGTGACCTCTGGTTTTGCACCTTTTTCCCTATTTTTGATGGCATCATTTTCCTCTTTGAACAAAGAGGATCTGACATGTATTTCATAAATCTTGAGAAATATATATGACAAAATTAATTTAATTGGGTTTTTTGTGAAATACCAATTTACATGAGGGAGTTTTTCTTTTGTTTACACATTGCAATGATTCTGTGTTAAGAATATCTTGTCAGAAGATATATTGGGTTAATTTTCAATTATTTTTCATGAGAGGCTTTCAAGTGAGTGTTTTCAGAACCTTCGATATTGAGGACTAAAATTAATCCATCTCCTGCTGTTCCTAAAAGTGAACAAAGTGCTGAGGTTGTGCTTCAACCTAGACACCATTTCCAGCTCCAAATTTCCCTGAGTTTGTGCACTCACACAGAAAATGGAAGAAAAAAAACTGCTTTGAGGGATTTTTTAATAAAGAAATGGAAAAAAATGCCATCACACTGGGAGGTGTTTCCTCTTCTGAGCTGGGCTTTTCCTCTTTTCTCAATCTTGCATTCCTCACGTGAGGTTTTAATTCCTCCTTTATGGTAAAATACCAAAGTGTTCCAGAGCAGGGCTGTGCTCCAGTCACAGGAGTCTCAGAGGAATTCATTTCAGGGTGTCCTGTGTGCAATTTATTGTTTTATCTCATGGAATCCTGGAATGGTTTGGGTTGGAAGCGACCTTAAAGATCATCCAGTTCTATCCCTGCCATGGCAGGGACAGCTTCCACTGTCCCAGGCTGCTCCAAGCCCTGTCCAGCCTGGCCTTGGCCACTGCCAGGGATCCAGGGGACTCCACATCTCTTGTTTTTCTTTATCCAGTCTCTTCAAAATTGACTCTGTTGGTTTGAAAGTAGGATTTTTTAGGATAACCTCCAGCTCCCAGATGGACAAAATTGGCTTTCAGATTTTAATACCTGCTTAAATGACTTCCAATCTAGCTTTTCACACCTCTGACAATAAACATTCTTCAGTCACAGGTGCTGCAGTTGTTTGGTCAGAGATAAATATTTGCAGATATTTCCTGAAGAACTTCACTGTGTGTGAACAGAGACTTTGTTTTAGTGACAAAGAATTCAGTGGGTTTGATTTTTTTTGTGCAGTGACATTCATCCATCACCACCTGGGATAGGAGAAGGTTCCCTGCCCATGGCAGGGGGTAGAATGAGATGATTTTTGGGTCCCTTCCAACCCAAACCATCCCAAGATTCTGTGATAAAGGGAAATATTGACAACACAAAGCTGCAAAACATCAAATAAATTATATAAACTCTATATAATTCCATTTCTGTGGTATAAAATCAGCTAACAGAGGGTTTTTTTCTCTGGCTGTGTACAGAACAGATGCTCTGCTGGTGAAGCTGTCCCTGCTGATGGGCCAGGAGGTGTTTTATGGAGCTCTCTGGGGCAGTGTCCTGGGCAGCCCCTCCATCAGGCTCCCTGCTTCCCTCTTCGTTGTCAGCCACATCAACAGAGAACTCTCTGGCAAACAGCAGAAATTCATGCTTGGCACTGATTATAAACTCACTGTAAGTTCATTTTACACCCTTGTTTGGGTTTGAAAAGCCAGGTGTCTGCTAAGGAAGGCAGGAGCCTCCTTTGACATGGAAAATGTAAACCCTCTCTTCCAAATTACTATAATTCTGAAATTAAGGGGCTCTCAGGCAAAGATATGGGAATAGGAATAACTTCTTTATTAGGGAAAAATAATTTTTAAAAATAAAAATAAAAATGTAATAATACAAACTAACACTGACAGAGTGAGAACACAACCTCACAGCCTGTGAACCCCATAATCTCAGCCTTGTCTGGAATAAATTGGGATGCCATGCAATTAAAAATATTTTGAAAAGAGAGACTGAAAGATCCATACTCTAAAATTGCTCCATCCATTTAATTTGAAGAGCAGCTTTTCTGGTTTCAATGTTTGATGTGCAGTTCCCAAAGTGTTTGCTGTTCACAGGTTTTGTGTCTTTTTATTTTTCCAGTGAAATGGAAATCTTCTGTAGGGAGTAATTTGTGTAGAGTGATGGAATAAGTGTAAGGCCAATTAGAGTATATCTGCATTTTGGGAGGTTTTACATCTTGTAACTCTGGGACATTCTGTACTCCTACAAACCCAATATTAACAATTTTTAATAGCCACAAAAATTTGTTTAAACTCACTTTGGGTGGAGGAGTTAAATTGTAATTGTCCTCTTATTTAAACAGAATATTATTCATAGGTAGCCAAATTTTCTTTCTTTCTATCCAGTGATTATTTGATAGCAAAATCAAATAAAATGTTGTGTTTTCCTTCTCCAGATAAAGTCTTTGTGCGTGTCAGTGCTGGATTCCAATGTTCTTGTGCAGAGGAACACTCTGGAAGCAATCCTCTTCTTTTTCCCATTTTATACAGCTTTGGTAAGGGGATTATTTTGGGATTTTTCTATGGAAGGTCTGTTCTGTGCAATCAGCCCAGCTCCCACCTCTGTTTTTGCCAACTGGCTGAATTTTGAACCCTCAAAACCTCAAAATCCATTAATTTTGGGATTTCTTGAGCTTCATCAGTTTGAGCAGTGGAGGAGACTCTGCTGCTTCTCAGAGTCTTTACAGCTTCCAAGGCTGAAGAAATGATTTCACAGGGGCTTTTGGGGGGTATTTGGGATGTGCTTGAACTAGTCAAGCGTGAGCAGCTCATGCAGAAAAAATATGGAGTTTATTCAAGTAGGATTGTAGAATTTAGAATTGTCCACATGAAGTGATTTCTGGCAAAGACCAGGAGAGAAAACCTGACTTAAAAGTTATTCCCATTGTTTCCTCACCTCCCTGTAGGACAGGCAGTATTTAGGATGGAGGAAGAATTTTTAAGTCTTAGGGAGAGGAGAAGCTTTGGAGTGAGCTCAGGGTGGCCTTGCAGGGCCTGAAGGAGCCCCAGGAAACCTGGAGAGAGACAATTTCCAGGGCATGCAGGGACAGGACACAGGGAATGGCTTCAAACTAAAAGATTGTAGAGTTAGGTGGGGTATTGGGGAAAATCATTCATCCCTGGCAGGGTGGGCAGGGGCTGGGATGGAATTCCCAGAGCAGCTGTGGCTGCCCCTGGATCTCTGGCAGTGCCCAAGGCCAGGTTGGACATTGGGGCTTGGAGCAGCCTGGCACAGTGGAAGGTGTGGGAATGGATGGGCTTTAAGGTCTCTCCCATCCTGTGACTCCATGATCCCACTTTTCTCAGATCCCTTGAGATTGTGTCACATTTCTTTGATTGATGACATGGATAAGGGGATTGAGTCTTTCATTAGTAAATCTGCAGACCACACTAAGCTGAGAGCTGTGTCCATCTGTTGGAAGGTGGAATGGCTATGCAGAGAGACCTGGAATGGTTGGATGGATGGGCTGAGTCCAGCAGGATGAAATTTAATAAGTCCAAGTGCCCAGTCCTGGCTTTTGGCCACAACAACGCCCTGCAATGCCAGAGGCTGGGGATGGTGTGGTTGGACAGTGCCCCTGTGCTCAGCTGGGGCTGGGCTCTGTCTCCAGGCAGCACTGACACAACCAGAGCACACAGCCTCCAGCTGCACCAAGGGAAATACAGGCTGGATAGCAGGAAAAAGTTTATTCCAGAAAGGGGGATAAAGTTCTGGAATGGCTGCCCGGGGAGGTGGTGCAGTCACCATCCCTGGGGGTGTTTAACAAAGCCTGGATGTGGCACTGGGGGCCAGGGTTTAGTTGAGCTCTTGGGGCTGGGTTGGACTCGATGGTCTTGAAGGTCTCTTCCAACCTGGTCATTCTGTGAATTCTTGACGTTTTTAGCACACAAGCCATTTTCTTGTTGATGCTTTGTTATCTTTTCCCCAGTACATTATTATTCCCAGTTCAAAAGCCCAGCCCATCACCAGTTTGACTCCTTTCAGTGCTCACCAACAGCTGAAAAATCTTTCTTTTCCACCCTAGGACTGCAAGGAAAGCACCATCGTGCTCAGGAGGGCTGATCTGGTTTATATCCTGTCAGCAGCCACTCAGACACTGCTGAGGAGAGACATGTCCCTCAACAGGAGATTGTATGCATGGCTGCTAGGTACTGTGCAAAATCCAAGGATTTTCAATGTTCTGCATACTTGAACATTTTGAACAACTTGAAAAAAAAATCCGTGTTTAAAATTGAAATACACTTCTTTAGCTGTTAATGAATGATGATAAAGTAAATTGGTGTTTATTTGCTGTTTATTAAGTGCCTTAATACAATTAAATATTTGATAAACAGGGCTTCTCTTCAGAGTTGAATTTATTTCTCCCTGAATGTCAGGGTATCTGATAAATTCTGATTCCACCCCCAACTAGTTGTGAAGTGGTTCAGTGGACTAAAAGGACTAAAAGTTACTATTTTAATCTTATTTTTCTGGAAGAAATAGTGATTCCCACTGTATTTGGCCTTGGTTTTGATTTATGTGTTTTGCTGAACATCTGGATGCCCTCAAACTGGGACCTGTGGGCTGTTGAAATACAAAAGATTAAAAATGCAGTGTAAATTCAATATAAATCCCTCAGTGCCCTGTGCTGCTCTCTGAACTCCTCCTGCCTCTGTTTTCTTGTAGGTTCTGATATTAAAGGTGGCACTTTTGCTCCAGACTCCACCACTTCTGAAGACCATGCTGTTTACTTCTTTGGAAAATACTCTAAAGATCTTTTGGTTGAGGTTGGTGTTCATTTTATACAGATATATTCCAGATAAATTAATGATCCTTGCAATTTTAACTCAAGCTGTGTCCAGAATTATTCCCAATTATTGGTTTGTCCTTCTCTCTCTGTCCCTGTGGTTACATTTCCATCTATCTCAAAACCTCTGTGCTGTATTTATCCCAATATTGGATTGCTTATGGAATCTAAGGAAACCAATGGGAAGCATCTTGGCTGAGCTACCTGAATTATTTAAAAATGTTTCTCTGGATAAGATCAGCCCTTGAGTAGAGATGATGGGAGGATGGAATTGATTTGTTTACCCTGGATGGAAATTAGACTTCATTTGTAGCCAGTCCTAAACAAAATCAAATGCAACAACACTTCAGCTCTTAATAAGATGACATTCTGTCCCTGATGGATAACATTGTTATGTTTTCCTTTTCCTAGAGTTTGATTGTGATTCTGCATCAGAAATTCCCAGAGGCTGACCCAGAGGAGCAGCACCAGGCTTACCTCAAACCCTTCCGGATCCTCATCAGCCTCCTGGACAAACCTGAAATAGGTGAAGTGTTCATCCCAAATCTGAGTAGGACTTAACAAAACCCTGCACAATCCCAATCCTGCGTTCTGTGGGAGTGTGCAGGAGGCTGTTCCTTGCCTTGGCCCTGCTCTGGAACAAATTTCTTCTCCAGGTTCTCTCTGGCTGCCCCACAGAGCCCTGCAGAGCACGGATGGATCCCAGGGAGGGAAATGCAAATCTGTGCCCTCCTGTAGGATCAGCACAGCCCAGGCTTGGGGTTGTGCCAACCCCAGCCCCACAGGCTGGGACAGAGTGTCCTGAGAGCTGCTCAAGCAGGAAAGGCCCTGGGGGTGCTGGTGAGTCACCTTCCCTGGAAGTGTTGGAAACTGTATGGATGTGACACTTGAGGACAGGTTTAGAGGTGAACACAGGGGTGGTGCTGGGTGATGTTGGACTCTGATCTTGAAGGTCTTTTCCAATGTTAACAATTCTGTGATTTGGCTGAAATACCCAAGTTTGTTTTTTTTTACTGGAGTAGAGCAGGAAGTGGAGAAGCAGGGGAGGCTCAGATTGGAGACTGGGAAAGAAAATTTCCCTGGCAGAGTGGTCAGGCCTTGGGCTGAGCTGCCCAGGGAGGTTTGGAGTCGCTGGAATTGTCCCAGAGGAGTCTGGATGTGGCCCCTGGGGACAGGGTTTGGGGTGATGGCACTGGCTGATCCTGGAGGGCTCTTCCAGCCTTGACAATTCTGGGGTTCTTAGCCTTGAGCTGGCACCTGAGGGGCACTTTAGAAAAGCACTTCCAGCCTTGTGTCAGTATTCAGCTCCATTTGTTCCTTGGGTGGATCTGCTCTTCCCTCTCTGTGTCTGTCCATGCAGCACCAGCAGGATGAGGCTCTGCCCATCCTTACTTCAAGGGCAAATTCAATTTTCTGCACTAAAGAATTAAACCAAAGTGACTTGACAATTTTTTAAAAATATTTTGGGTGGAGAATAATGTTGCCAAAGAGGTTGTTTCTGTTAGAAATATATTGATTAATCTAATTTAGAAAGTAAATGAGAGACATTGCCCTACTGGATGTGTTGCTTGGCTGCCTGACAATCTGCATTAATCCAAAGTACAAATAAAGGGATAATAAATCCTTTTTAAACCAGGGATATTTAGCTAAACTGCATTATCCAGTTTAATCTTTCCAGTCAGAACATAAAGTTTGATTCCTTGAGCCTTAAGCCATTAAGACTCTCGCTCCCTTTAGAAATGGATTTAACAATGCAACAATTATTTAAAGGTATCAAATCAAACATAACAAGTTTTGACCTTTTCTGCTATTCTTAGTCACTTAAACTTCTATATTTTCATGTTTAAAAGCACTCACTGAAATGCTTTATACACTACTTTTTATTTTTTTAAATTATTCCAAGTTTAGTGCACTGAAATTATTATTTCTTCCCCTCCTCTGTAGACAACTCCTGGATTCTTTTTTCCCTTTCCTTGCAGGGCCACAGGTTGTTGGGGATCTCTTCTTGGAAGTTCTTAGAGCTTTTTATTCCTACTGCAAAGACACCCTGGGTTCTGATCTCAAACTCAGCTACAATCAAAGTGGCAACACCCTGGCAAGGTATGAAAAATTTCCAACTCTGAGCTGAAACTGGATCATTTTTTAAGTTAAGTGGTTAAAATGAAGGAGTTTAATGAAGTTTTGGGTTGTTACAAAGTGACTTTCTGGCCAGAGGATGAAATTTTTCTCTGGTTTCCCCTTTTCTCTACACACAATGAATTTCTCTTGGATTAGCAGAGAAAAAATGAAGTTTGCTGCATGTGATGGGTGTTGAGTAACCACAATGACATCAGGCTGCTGACAGAGCTCAGCCTTGTGATTCCCATCATCTGAAAGATGCTCCAGCTATTCCAGAATGATATAGCCTTTGATTAAAAAACAAACAAACAAACAAACAAACACCAACTTTTTTTCGCTTTTAGAGAAAAGGGAAAAGAGATTTTCGACTCCATCAGCTCATGTGATGTGAATCCTCACTGACATCTGCTTTTCTTTTTCTTTTCTCTCCCTTCCAGTGCAATCAAAGAGAACAAAAATGCTTCAGAAATTGTCAAAACAGTGAATTTGTTGATCACATCCTTAAGCACTGATTTCCTCTGGGACTACCTGACCAAATGCTTTGAAGATTGTTTCAGGTGTTTATGTTGTGCTCTCAAAAATGCCACTTCAGAGCTGTCTGTTCAGGACAATAATATTTACTAAAGCTTTTAAAGGACATCACACGTGGTAGAACCAGCCAGGTCTGTAAGTTGTGTCCACAAATAATTCAGGAGTGCAACCAGGTAAACAACTAGGTGGGAATTTCAACCTGGGAACAAAAGAAATTCCTTTCAAATCAACAGAAGAAGGAAAAAGGGTTGGGAAGGGAGGTGGAGAGGTGTTTCTAGAAGAAAAATAAAGATACTAAATGGGCTTTAAGTTCTCTTCCAACCCTCTGATTAGATGATATCTCTCTTTTTATCATTTTCTAACTCTAAGAAAGAAGATTCTGCAATCTGAAAATTAGCAGCTCTTCATCATACCACACAGAGTTGAGGTTGTTTTGACAGAATATTTTCCCCTGCTCTGTTAGAAGCCCTTTGCCTCAGAGCTGTTCAGTATTTTGTGCTGATTTTAGCAAAGCTTTTTGCTTGTAACCAGAATTTTGCCATGAAAAAACCTCCTTCCACAAGAATGTTTCTTTCACTCCAGAAACAAATCCACAGGGATGAGGTATCCTCTGGAAAATGTGAGCACTCCTCCTACCATTTCAGAGCTCTGCACTCTGCTGGTGTTCCTGCTGGATGTGATTCCTCTGGTAAGGCTGGGCTGAACAATCCCTGCTCAGTGATGGAGGAGATGGGATAACTCCTTTAAACATTCATTTTGCATTTCAGGAGCTCTACTCAGAAGTGCAGACTCAGTACCTGCCCCAGATGCTCAGCTACATGGTGCAGTCTCTCCTGGAAAACATGGAAGTCTTGGGACTGCCAGAACTCACTCATGCCTTAAAAACCTGTTTTAAGGTGCTCAGCAAGGTGCAAATGCCCCCTTCCTACCTGGACATCGAGACAGGCAGTGGCAATGGGGTAGGTGATTTTCAGCCCCTCAGAGATGGGTAAAACCCTTTAAAACTCTTGGTTTAAATTATTTTGGGACAGAATTTAAAATGCTAATTCTCCTTCAGCCTCGATGACAATTGCACCTGAAGGAGCCACAGGAAAGATGAAGAGAGACAGTTTCAAGGGAATGGAGGGACAGGACACAGGGAATGACGTCAAACTAAAAAAGAGTAGGGTTCAATGGGATATTGGGAATTAGGAATTCTTCCCTGTGCGGGTGGGGAGGGGCTGGGTTGGAATTCCCAGAGAAGCTGTGGCTGCCTCATCCCTGAAGTGTCCAAAGCCAGCTTGGACAGGAGCTTGGAGCAGCTTTGGAGCAGCCTGGGACAGTGGGAGGTGTCCCTGCCATGGCAGGGGTGCCGCTGGATCATTTCTAAGATCCCTTCCTACCCAAACCTATAATTCTATGAAATTTTTAAGTACAACAATAAAGATTTTTTGAAGCTTCCCTTCTTTGGCTCCTTCCAGAGCACTCTGTACCCTTGTTACTCTCACTGGGTATTCAGTTCTGGCCTGTTTGAATTATTTGTGGCACTCAAGGAGTTTAGTCTTGTCTGCCTCTGAGAAGGATGGGATCTAAATGGTTTTGGAAACAGAATGCAGTAGCTAAAAACTGGATTTACCAAATGCAGCCCAGCTTCACAGCTGGTTAGGTCTGCAGGGCTTTCAATGAATATTTCAGTGGAACACAATGGGACATTGTTGGTGTGCAAAGGACCATGCTGAGGAATGAGGAATAAATGGAATAAAGCAGCCCCAGGAGCACAGCCTGCCAAATCTGCCAGCAGAACAAATACCTGCATTTGAGCAGAAATAATGCAACAGATGGAACACTGCTCTGGGGGGAAATGGGTTTTAAGGGAGCACATCCCTCTGTTTGATGAGTCAGTTGTGTGAGGTTTATACAGATATTTATATATAATAAAAATATATCTATTATATATTTTATGTTATATATTTATACAGATATTGGGTTTTAAAGGGAAATTAATGGAGCTGTTTATAAACAACTGTGGTCCTGAAACTGGGAATCACAAACAGCAATTTTTCCTTTTTCTGTCATTGCTGTTCTCCAAGTGAAACCTGTGTTGGCAGTGCCACATTAACCACATCCCTGCTGCTGTTGCAGAGCCCAGTGCCAAAGGAAGATATGGAAATAACCCTGGAGACCAAACCTGGGCTGCCAGAGGAGGAGGAGGCTCCATTCCCCACCCTCAAGTCAGAGGACAGTGGCATTGGCCTGAGTGCCTCCTCCCCAGAGCTGTGCCAGCACCTGGGGGTGCCCACGGTGACCCTGGAGAGAGATGATGTCTGGAAAAAAGGAGGGAGCATCCAGAAAACTCTGCACTGCATCCAGGAGCTGGTGGCCAAGTTTGCCAGCAAATACATTTTTGGGATGCAGCTCCAAGAAATGAGTCCTGAAGGGATTGCAGCAATAAATCTGGGTGGGAAGGAGAAAAAGGAGAATGGCTACAGGTTACCTGAGAGTGGCAACAAGAAAAAGAGTCCCTGGGATGGCAAGCAAATCACTGTGCCTCAGGTGAAACAAATGCTCTCAGAGCTGTTCTCAGCCCGGAGCTCGCCCTTCAGGAGCAAGAATTCCACTGCTCTCCTCTCTGAACACAAAAAGGAGAAAGAGGAGGAGGAGTGGGACCTGGAGCTGGTGCTGGGACCCCTCAGAGGGGACTGCAAGGAAGCTTTCTCTGCAGCTTGTCACCTGCTGCTGGATTGTACCACATTCCCAGTTTACCTGTCTGAGGAGGAGACGGAACATTTGTACCTTTCTCTGTTTCAGGACCCTGGTAAGAGTTTTCCTTTCCTGAGGATTTTTAGGATGGAAACAGTGAGAGCTTGGCTATTTTCCGGACCAGAGGCACTAAAAACCCTTGGACAGGGCTGAAAGCAAATTGGGAATTAAATCGTCCCCCACCTCAGCATCTCGGGTGTGCCTGGCAGCTGAGTTTTGCCAAGCTTCTTAAATTTAAATTTTTTTTTAAAAATCCACTATAAAATTTGGAGCTGAAGGGATACGAAGACATCCTGGCCTGTACAGCCTTGCATGGTTCAGGATTTTCAGGATACCCGTCCCTGCTGTGCCCTGTTATGCATGGGTTATGCCCCCAAAAAAGGATGTTGTAGAGGAAGATGGATGTAGGTGGAAAATTTGAGCTCTAAACCATAAAATCATCTCTTATCCCAAAAATCATCTCTTATCCTCAGCATTCAAAGGAGTTCAGTGTACAAATAAGAATAATTTTGTGCAGCCAGAGGCCTGTTTGTTCCTGGATTTCCAGTTCATTCCTTAGCTTTAGCAGGAGCTGCTATTGACCTGAAGGTTAACTCACAAACAGGTTTGTGGGGAATGGAGAGGTGGGAAACTGGAAAATTGGGTTCTGTTCCTCACCTCACTCATATTCTTGCTGTCTGATGATACTCCCATCATCTCCATGGCTGAGCATGGCATGGACATGGAATACTTCTATTGCTCCCTAAGGAAAAGATGGCTTGGATTGATGTCAGCTACTTCAGTTATAGTTTATAAATCCTGAAAGGAGGGGCCTCAGTGCTACTGGAAGAGCATCCATGGATCCTGAGCCCTTTGGAACTGGTTGTGACAATGGCAGCTGGAAAACAAACCAGCAGCTCTAAATAATAAACATATTAATTGGGAATATTATTGGGAATATTATATGTTATTGGATTGGGAATAAACATATAGGGCAAAACAGAAATCCTGGAAGGTTTGGGGTCCTGCAAGGGCTTTCTGCTGGGAGAAGTAGGGAAAACATGGAGAGGTTGTGGCTGCCTCATCCCTGGAAATGTTCCAGGCCAGACTTGGAGCACCCTGGGAGGGTGGAAGGTGTCCCTGCCATCTTCAAGGGCCCTTCCAACACAAACCTTCTGTGATTCCATGAACTGTTGATGACAGGATCTGGGCAGTCATTTTGGTCCTGTGATCTTGCTTAAAGGATTTTTGGGAGTATGACCCCAACCCTGAGGTTGTTTCATGTGGATTCTTTTGCTTCTTTTTTTTGCCAAGGTCAGGATTAAAGGTGTGAGAGGGTATTTCATGTTAGGACTCAGATGTTTATCAGTTCTTGTCTCTGTTACAGTCTCACAAATCCTGAGTTCTGCAGCACTTCACTCTGACAAACAAAATGGAGCCCTGCCTCTCTCTCTACAAGGCCTTTAAAGGATAAACTGTTTAATTAAGAAATGACACCTAAATTATTTTCACTTTTAACCCAATAACCAACCACCTGTTCCTGCAATGAGGACTTTTTTATCCAGTGACACAAAACCACCCAAACCCGTGAAGGAGAAGGACCAACCTCCACCCTAAACCCTCCATCTTGCTTTGTATCTATTACTGTATTCTGAACCCTTAAACTCTGAGTTTCCCACCCTGTGATATCACACACTTCTGTTCAAACTGCACACCCACAATCCCAGTTCTGTCATTCCATTTTGGAAGCTTCTCCAGGGCCTCAGGTCAATGCAGTGTTCTCCTGGGGGTCAGTGCCTGGCAGCACAGAAAGTTTAAAATTCTCAGTAACCAAGGTTCCAACAGTTCCAAACCCTTTCTGTCCCTTCCCTTGTGAGCAGGAGGTGATCCCAGCTTCCCTCTGTGGCTGAAGTCCCTGATGACGATCTGCTGCTGTGTCAATGACTGCTACGTGCAGAATGTGTCCATCTTCACCCTCCTGGAGGTCATCAACCACTCCCAGTCCCTGGCACTGGTGATTGAGGACAGGATGAAGAGGTACAAAGTGTCTGGCCACAACCCTTTCCTTGGCAAGCTGCAGATGGTCACCCTTCCTCCCATTGCTCCTGCAGTCCTGAAGATGATCTCAGAGAAAACAGATTTCTACCAGGTGTCCGTTTTCTTTTCCTTTTTTACTGCCCAGCTACGCTGACCCTCTAATTCATAGAATCCTGGGATTCTGAGGCCATTTGGGAATGCCTTCTGGCAACAGGAAGCCAGGAAGGAAATGGCTCTTACTATGAATATAATTATGAGTATATTCATATTTAGTTGTTTGCTCTTTTTCCCTAGAGAGTTGCCTGTGTGCTCTGGAATCAGCTGAACAAGGAGACTCGGGAGCACCACATTGCCTGTGTGGAATTGTTCTACAGACTTCACTGCCTGGCTCCCTCAGCAAATATCTGTGAGGACATCATCTGCCAGGCCCTTCTGCACCGGGATAAAGTAGGTCCTGTGTAGCTGCAGCTGTCTTCACAGAGAGCAAACAAACACAGCTTCTCAAGGATATTTCTTGGGAATTGCAGTGAGGAACTTTAGAGAAAGAGAAAACAATTCTTATCTTTATTTTCTGTTTTTTGTTGTTTTTATACACGTGGAATGTGTTAAGAAGATTGTTTACCTGAAGGGATTTGGTAATTAGATTCTAGTGATAATTGTTTATATTAATTAACCAATCACTGGAAGCCGTGTCCTGACTGTCTGGAGACAGTCACGAGGTTTTCTTTAGTATCCTTTTAACATCTCTTTAGTATAGTTATAATATGTTATTAATGTAATATAGTATAGTTTAATAAAGCAATTGTTCAGCATTCTGAATCAGTAGAGTCAGTACCAATCATTCCCAGATGTTGGAATCATCCTGACTCTACTATAGGTCCTGCATGCACTGGAAGCCCCTCCAGCACTGTGGAATTGTTCCAGTGCTTCCCAAAAGTCCTGCTGTTCCCTTCTCCATGTGTTCACTCCCGTGGTTGCTGTGTTTTCCAAGAGTCTGGCAGGCTCTGTCCATGCTTTTACAATTCCCTGGGATTTGTTCAGCATGGGATTAGTGCTGGACTTAATCCCTGGGTACAAAATCTAGCACTAGATATTATGTGGAGTTTTTAGTTCAAACTCAAATCCTGTTGTTTTTGTCAGGATTTCCCACTGCTCCAGCTCTACCAGTATCTGTAAAATCACTTTATTTTTATAGTATTTGGTCTCACAATAAGCTGTATTTTAAGTGAGCCAGTTATTAATTATTTTCCTTCCCTAATATAATGACAGCACAGTTCTTTAACAGCTGACAGAGCATTTTGCACAATAAAACTTTAACCAGTCTTTCCCATTGTTTTCCTGTCCTTGCAATATTGCAACATAAAAATTTGCAAACCTTTTTAAAGCTTTTCACCAGTATCCACTGCGTGGATACCAATGTATTCTCTTTTCATCCAACTTGGAAACCTCCCTAAATCTCCTTTTTTTCCTTGCCAAGGGAACAAGGCTAGAAGCTCTGTTCAGATTCTCTGTCATGTGGCACCTGACCAGAGAGATCCAAGGCAGCAGAGTGACTTCCCACAATCGCTCCTTTGATAGGTATTTCCACTTCCATTTGCATTTTTATATTTAATTATATCATGTTTTATTCTCTTTTCTGAGCTGGAGAGGAGTTCTCTGTAGGGAGAGTAAAAAAAATGAACAAAAGGAATATTTTCCATTTCCTTGGAGTTTATCTTTGCAGGGCACTCTGTGCATGCTGTGGTTTCTTTTGGGTGAAGGAAGTTGCTGTAAAAATAGAAAGACCTTCATTAAGGAAGAGTAGCTTTTCTGGAGAGCAGATATTTTTTAATCTTGGAGTGAATTAAATTTGCCTTCCAAAGAAAATAACACCAGCTCCTTGTAAAAACAAAAATCTTAGTTTAGTTTTACTTCCTATGAGATAAAATGAAATAAAAGCAAATAAGTATGGGAAAGAATTTAAAAGGTGGGAGGATTAGTGAGGCCTTGCTTGTACAATTCCTGAGCTCAGTCCAGGAAAGCTGCTTGGCCAAAGCTGTTGGGAGCAGACCTGAGCCATTGAGCACGCTCTGGGTGTGTTCCCTGCCCGGATTTTATTGCTTAATTTAACTTTTTTTAGGGATTTCAGCTGTCCTTGGTGCTGGTGATGCCTTGGAGTGCCTCCCTAGAGCAGAGGCTAGACAAGATTAAGAGAATAAGAGCAGGTATTTATTAAAGGCCTCCACAGACACACCTTGGGCACCCAGAAGCCTCCCAGAGGCCTCAGCCAACCTGGACAATGGTCACCAGTGTTTCACACAATTATCACTTTGGTCCATTTACATATCAGGGGTTAATTCTCCAATTACAGCTTCAGATAATGAAGTCATTAACCCCCAGTTTGCTTCCTCCCAGTTCACTTTTTTTTTTATATTTTCAGGTCCTGAGGCTGTAGGGTGTCCTTGGGTGTCAGGCCTAGAGGGATTGTTTTGTCTGAGCGAAATGTGAAGACAGTGATGCCTTGGGAGGCTGCCTGGAACAGAGGCCAGGCAGTGCTAAAGGAATAAAGCAGGGATTTATTAAAAAGCCTTTAAAGGATACACTTTGGGCAGCAAAAGAGCCCAGCTGAGGCTACACCCAAGATGGACCCAAGATGCACCCTGGGTCATGAGTTTTCACAATTTTATAGGTTTTGGTCCATTTCTATCTTGGGGTTAATTGTCCTATTACATCTTCAGGTTATGAAGTCCCATCCTCCCAGATTGCTCTCCTCAGTTTGCTGTTGTTTGTACTTTTTTGGGGCCTGGAAAAGGATCGTTTTGTGTGAGTGAACTCTGAGGAGAACTTGCTGACACTTCATGTGAGGTTCAGAGTTATACACTAATGCAGTGCAAAATCTGGAAAATATGAAATCTAAAACTTAAGGCATCAACAGTAACTAACACTTCATGAGCAGTTTAGAGTTATGCACTAGTGTGTGAGAAAGAGACTTGTAAGGATCCATTGTAAGACTTGTAGATCAGATTTGTAAGAATCCATTGTAAGACTTGTAGATCAGATTTGTAAGAATCCACTGTAAGATTTGTAAGAATGGATTTGTAAGAATCCACTGTAAGATTTGTAAGAATGGATTTGTAAGAATCCACTGTAAGATTTGTAAGAATGGATTTGTAAGAATCCACTGTAAGATTTGTAAGAATGGATTTGTAAGAATCCACTGTAAGATTTGTAAGAATGGATTTGTAAGAATCCAGGCACTAATCCATACACTAATGTGCAATGTGTGAGAAATCCATTTCAAACCCCGGAGAAGGCCGAGTGCCGAGTTACCCGTGTTTTCCCGCAGGTCGCTGTTCGTGGTGCTGGACAGCCTGACGTGCTCGGACGGGGCCATCGGCGCGGCGGCGCAGGGCTGGCTGCTGCGGGCGCTGTCGCTGAGCGATGTGGCGCGGATCCTGGAGCCCGTGCTGCTGCTGCTGCTGCACCCCCGCACCCAGCGCACCTCCCTGGGCTGCCTCAGGCACCGCGCCTCCCCAGGTACCGCCGGGGCTGTGGTAAAAGGCAGGGAGAAATCATGAGGAGGACTCTGTTGGTATCAGAAGGCTAATTAATTGCTTTATTGTACTGTGTTATTGTCATTCCTGCGCCGAGAATAACACAGGAACAGGCGGGAGGCGGTATTGTAGAAAGAGCAAGGAAGGCTTTATTCAAGAGAACAGTACAGTTTTATAGAGTGATACAACAGATTCTGTTTGATTGGTTAATAAAAACATCTTCCTCATACACTGTCCTTGAGAAGAACAGAAAGACGAAGTAGAAAAACACCACCTGCAGATTGCTTATACTTAACAAGTTATCACATTCTTACAACTCCCTAAAAATTCTCACAAGCCGTGTGAGAAGCACTTGCTGTTTCTCTCTCTCTGTCCCATTGGAATGCACATATTATTCTATACCCTGTTACACTACATCTAAACTGAAACTGCACAAGCACTCAACTGCACTGAAGAGAATCTCATGACTGCCTGCTGACCGACAGTCTGCACATGTGCTTGGCCCTGACAGTCCAAGGAAACACAGCACCATCACTGGGTGAACAATCTGCATATTGCATTCTACTTTGGCACAAACACAGGTGCAGCAAATAAGATAAGAATGGTTTTGATCATTCTTTGTCTGCTTCTCTCACTGCTTCTCTCAGGTTCAGAGAATGTGAATCCCTCAGGGCCCTCTGGGGCACTGCCTCATCCATGAGATGAGGCCAGCGGGGTGAGGGCCAGCCCTTGCCTTGGGTCACAACAACCCCAGGGAGCCCCAGGCTGGGCAGAGGGGCTGGAAAGCTGGAAAAGCCCAGGGGGTGCTGGGGACAGGGCTGGACACGAGCCCAGGGGTGCCCAGGTGGGCAAGAGGCCACTGGCAGCTGGGCTGGATGAGGAATTGTGTGTCCAGCAGGAGCAGGGCAGGGATTGTCCCTCTGTGCTGGCTCTGAGAGGCCCCTCGAGGGCTGTGCCCAGTTCTGCTCCTGCAGGAGAGACCTGGAGGGGCTGGAGCGTGTCCAGGGCAGGGAACGGAGCTGGGAAGGGGCTGGAGCCCCAGCAGGGGCTGAGGGAGCTGGGAAGGGGCTGAGCCTGGAGCAAAGGAGGCTCAGGGGGCCCTTGTGGCTCTGCACAAGTCCCTGCCAGGAGGGGACAGCCGGGGGGGTCGGGCTCTGCTCCCAGGGAACAGGGACAGGAGCAGAGGGAACGGCCTCAGGCTGGCCCAGGGCAGGCTGAATTTGGATATTAGGAAAAATTCCTTCATGGAAATGATGGTAAAACATTGGAAGGGACTGCCCAGGGCAGTGCTGGAGTCACCTTCCCTGGAAGTGTTGGAAACTATGTGGATGTGACACTTGAGGACAAGTTTAGAAGTGAACAGGGGCATGGTACTGGGTGATGTTGGACTCTGATCTTGGAGGTCTTTTCCAATGTTAACAATTCTGTGATTTGGCTGAAATACCCAAGTTTGCTTTTTTTTACTGGAGCAGAGCAGGAAGTGCAGAAGTTTCTGGAAGTTCCTGTCCCCTGTCCTGTGCCTGTTACCAGGCTGTGCTTTCAGCATCATTTCTTGGTGTCAGTTGACAAATAAATGTCCCACAATTAAAGCATCCACAGGGCTGCCATAGAAATACAGAGATAATCTATTCCTTCCTTGTTCCACAGCATTTAATTAAGGGAAAAAATAGCTCTTTAATTAATTAATTAATCAATCCCTCTGTTGCCATCCTTCTCATTGCCCTCCTGATCTCCACAAATATTTAATGTTCAGGAAGCATAAAAAAAGATAATTGTCACTCTTAGGGTGTCTCAGCCTAAAAGTGTTTTATGTTTTGATCCTGTTCTTTTTGCAGGAGGTTAGCACTGCTCTTTAACCACTTTAAAAGTGAAATAATTCTTGCCTTAAGAATAATTGTTGTTCATTTTTTTTAGTCACACTCATTACAATTAATACTGGACTGGAGCAAAGCAGCTTTCTAAACTTCTTAAATAAATATTATAATATTATAAAGCGTGATGTGTTGACTAAATGACCCTTAAAGGACCCTTCCAAGCCTGACTGTGATATGATTTTATGTGTGAAATAGCAATCAAATTAATAAAATCTATTTTTCAGACTATGTTCGTGATTGGCTTTGCAAGAAAAAGACCCCTCTGAAAGAGTCTGGCATCTCTGAGAGCAATTCTGAGGAAAACCTTCCCTTGAGCCAGTTCACTGCTGTGGACAGAGAAGCAATTTGGGCAGAAGTGGAAAATGATCCAGAGAAAGCAGAGCTAAAAGCTGAGCAGCCTGAAAATGATGGCTCTTCCCAGGACACGGAGGGCGACCAGGACAACAGCGAGCACACGGAGTCTGCAGACACCAGCACAGGCCATGACAGTGACAACACCTCCTCCTTGTCCCCTTCCCTGGAGCTGCAGGAGGTGAGCAGCGAGGACAAGGAGGCTGCAGCTGATGGCAGAGAGGCTCCAGGCCACGGGAATTCCCTCAGTGCCTCCGAGAGCTCCAGATCCAGCGCGGGGCTCAACCTCGTCAGGGCCGACTCCGAGAGGACTCAGGCCTCGGAGTCTCTGTCCAGTGACGAGGAGATGGAGCTGGAGCTGCAGGAGATGGCTCACTGCAGGCTGCTGAGGCAGCAGAAGGAGAAGCAGGAGCTGGCAGAGGCCCTGTTCAAGCACATGCTGCTGTACTTGCAGCCCTACGACTCCCGGCGGGTGCTCTACGCCTTCTCCGTGCTGGAGGCCGTGCTCAAAACCAACCCCAAGGAATTCATCGAGGCTGTGGCCACCACCAGCATGGACACCAGCTCCACAGCGCACCTGAACCTCATCTACAACCTCTTGGCTCGCCACCAGGAAGCTCTGGTAGGGCAGAGCTTTTATGGGAAGCTGCAGCCTCAGTCCCCCACGGCGTGTCCGCACTCGCTGCTGATCGAGCTGCTCACCTCGCTGTGCCTGAGCTTCCTGCGCTCCTACTACCCCTGCTGCCTGCAGCTCAGCCACAGGGACCTGCTGGGCAACAGGGACGTGCAGGTGAAGAGCGTGGAGGTGCTCATCAGGATGATGGCCCAGCTGGCCACCACGGCCAAGGCGGCCGAGCCCAGGAACGTGGAGCTGATCCGCGATCTGCTGGGAAGGTGCCAAGTGCAGGAGCTGGTGCTGCTCTCGCTCTCGGCCTCCATGTACGTCAGCCACAAGCGCTACCAGCTCCTGGCTGATGGGGCCAACCACCAAGAGCAAGAGCTCTTCGAGGAGAGCCTGATCAATTTTGGCCACGATCAGATCTGGAGCGAGCACCCTCTCCAGATTGAGCTGCTGAAGCTGCTGCAGGTGTTGATTGTCCTGGAGCACCACCTTGGCCAGAGGCCTGAGGAGCAGGAGAGCCAGCCAGACCTGTCCAAGGAGTGGCAGCAGGCTCTGAACTTCCAGCAGGCCATTGGGGCCATGCAGTACGTGTACCCACACCCTATCACCTCCCAGGGCTTGTTTGTCTCTGCCGTGGTGAGGGGGCTCCAGCCCGAGTATGGCCATGGCATGCATCCCACCTGGGTGGGCTTGGTCACCAGCTCCCTGCCCTACTTTGGGAAGTCCTTAGGCTGGACCGTGGCCCCATTTGTGGTGCAGATCTGTAAAAACCTGGATGAGCTTGTCAAGCAGTATGAAAATGAAGCTGTGAAGACTTCTGCCAAAACATCTGCCAGGTGAGAGCCACCAGCGGGGATTTGTTATTCCAAAAATTCCCCTTTCCACAGAGCTGGGAGTGTGAAGGAACTCCCTGGGTCAGCACCGTGGCTCCCAGAGTTTGATCCTTAATTCCTGCTGCACCTGGAGTGAGCTGGAGGCAGGATTGGTGCAGCAGCTGGAAGAAGAGAGGAGAGAGGAGCAGCAGCAACTCTGATATTTCCTGGCTCCCTCTGCCTTCCATCCAAGTATGAAAGCTCCCAGTTTTATGGATCCCTTCATTCTGGTATTCCTGATCTGATATTCCTAATATTCCCTCCAATTTTAGCTGTGGAATAGAAACAGGAATTTTTAATCAAGGGAATACCACTTGGCTTATTAACATGTTTTGGTTTTTTTCCCCCTCCCAAAGCTTCACTTCTAAAAGAGAAAATGTGACTCCTGATTATCCCCTCACCCTTCTGGAAGGGCTGACAACCATCGGGCACTTCTGCCTTCTGGATCATCCCCATCCAACAAAAAAGGTACGTGGGAATCTCCTGACAGCAGGGTCACATCCCCCTTCCTTCCAGGTGAAGAGAAACAGGGAATTGTACAAGAAAATAACCTTAGAGAGGCCTCAGAGCACACCCAAAGAACTGAGCTGACTCAAAGTGAAAGGACTGAGCTCAATTTTTCTGTGTTTGAAGACTGCAGAGGGAATTTGAAGTCATTGTTCATGAAGATCTTGGTGATGCAAATATCAGTCCTTAACAAACTGGCTTATTTTCTTTGGATTTATAATGCTTTGATGTGTTCCCTACAATTTTTAGGTTCTTTTGCATAAGAAATCATTTTAACATTGATATTTTGGGGTTTTTTTCCCAGTCATCCTGTTCAGCTGAACCTGCCAACCTGAGGAATGCCAGGAATGCCATCCTGGAGGAGCTGCCCCGAATAATGAACACCATGAGCCTCCTCTGGAATGTCATCAAGAGGGAAGACTCCCAGAAAAGACCAACTGACTTCTTTGGGACAACTAAAGGCTCCTCTTCAGTCTACTTTAAAGCAACCAAAGTAGGAGCTCTTTTAAAATGCTGATTTTTTTTTTTAATCTCCTCGTCCTCCCCAGTGCATTTTACATGGAGTTCTTTTATTGCTGTTTATTTTCTGTATATCCTGGGAAAAGAAATAATACTTTATAAAGTAGGAGATGGTCTTTGCCTTACATTGATAATTATTTTCCTCCCTTTACAGACACTAAGAACAAAAATATTGGACTTCCTGAATCCCTTGACAGCACACCTTGGAATCCAGCTGATGGCAGCAACTGCAGCAGTGTGGAACAGCAAAAAACCTCACAGAAGTCACAGTAAAACCAAGGTGAAGCTAAAGAAAAGGACCTTTTTATTTCCTATATAAAGGCAAATGTTACATTTATGGGGTCAGTTCTTAACTCTGTTTGTAGATTCTTTGGGGTTTTTTAAATAGGAGTGAAAAATCTGAAATCCTCTTAGTTAGAAAAAGCATCAGAACTATAATTAAACCTCAATAAATAATCAAATAAAACCCACATTGTGGGTTTAAATCTGAGAGTAAAATCCATTTTCTATTCAATACTGGATTGCCAAAATATAATTGGCCAATTATATTTTAAAGCTCATGAATCAGCTCAGTTTCCAGAGAAAATGAGAGCTGTGTTCTCTGGAACTCATTATTTATCCTGGGGAGAACCTTTTCCTTTCCTGCTTTCACTGGGGCAGAATCCAGTTGTGTTCATGAGGTGTTGGGAGATCTTTAATGGCAAGGGCAGTGTGTGGTTATCCTGTGTAATTTACATTTCATTTTGAGGGGTGTGTGTTCTGCTTTGTTTTCTCTTGTCAGATTCTCCCAGTGGCCAGTGCATCCCAGCTCATTCTCGTGGACTTAATTTGTGCCCTGAATACATTGAAAATTGACACCATCTTGTATCTGGTCAAAGAGGTGGTGAAGAAACCAGCACAGATCAAGGGGGAAGAGGTATTAGGTGTTCTATATTTTTTAAACAGCTCTTTTACAAAACCAAATTCACCAAGCATTAAGCATTTTTCTAATAGTACACAAACAAAAATTTTTAAAAATCCTTTAATCCTAATCAAAAACCCAAAACAAATTAAATATCCATTTCCATTAATAACCTAAAGCAAAAAGTGTACTTATATCTCCACAAGTTCAAAAGCAAACTAAATTCCAAAAAAGATCACAAACCGTATCAAATATAAAAAGTGTTAAAAACTCTAGAAACAAAAAGGTAAGCACACAAACAAAAACTACAACTAAAAACAAACACCTCTTACTTCACATACAAAAACTACAAACGTAAAATTAAATCTAATATCGCATTTATATATTTTGATTTTATTTACTCTCAACAATACAGTTTTACCCATTAATCAACCAAAACCCAATATTTAAATAACCTTAACCAATACATCAAACTTAAATACCATACCTTTAACTCATTCAAACCCTAAAAAACCATTTTCAAATTATTTAACAAATTTATCAATAACTACTAAACCAATACCAAAAACCATTCCTCCACATCCTTCACAATTCATTATAAATCCCTCTAATAAAGTTTACAGCACATTCCTTCCTCAAATATCTTGTACACAACAAAAATTTAAAAATCCTGAGTTCTATAAAAATAAATTTTTACATCAAATTCAATATTTTTATACTTAAAATATAAAGATATAAAATATGTAAATACAAAAATAAATATATAAAATAAATAAATATCATAATATAAATATATACATATAAATATACAATTATTTCAACTATAAAATTATATTACAATCTATTATATATTTTATATTATTTATATTGTTTATATTTTATATATAAAAATATAATTATTTTTATATTTATTTATTTAAAAAATAAATATGTAATATAACAACGAAAACAAAACTTCAAGCAGGAAGATAATTCCATTTTCTGAATGTATTCCAGGCTGGATGTGTTTCAATGTGTCTTTGAAGAACTGTTGGAAGGGTTTGCTTTTAAATGTGGGATTGTCCTTTGCTCCTGAATGAGTTTTGTTATCCAGATTGTGTCTGATACACAAAAAAATAGATTTTTAAAAATATTTCAGGAGATGGTGATGGGAAAAGGGGAATGGCCTCCCTCCCTCACAGGGATCAAATTTTCCCAATATCAGAAACAAAAATAACAAACCTTCCAACCAAAGCGGAGATGATGAAAGGTGGTTTTGTGTAAGTGGATAAAAAAGTCCACATTGCAGACTTCGAGTGATTATTTATTAGGTTAAAAGTAAAAATAATTTGGATGACATTTTTAATTAAATAGTTAAAAAAACCTCATCTAGAAAGATAGTCAACCATTTTGTACCTTGTTAGTGAGATACTACAGAACTCACTATTGTGAGACTGTAACATAAATAAAAAAATAAACATCTAATCCTAAATGCAAAATACCATCTCAAGTACCTTCAATCCTGACTCAACAGAAGTACAGAAAAGAAGCCAAAAACCAGCATATGATGATGTTTTGTGTGAGGAATAAAATATTGATTAGTTTTGTTTTGTAAAATTATATAGAGTTATGTAAGATAACTACGTAAGTATTAATTATTAATATTATTTAGTTAGGAGTATGAAGAAATATTAGAGTAAAACAATGTATGTAGTGAAGAAGAAATTGGTAATAATTAGGAATTAATTAGATAATATATATGATTAATAATACATATGAAATTATATAATTAGAAAGTACTATAATCAAAAAGTACTAAAATGAGATTTTGGGAATAAATCCTTCCCTGGCAGGGTGGGCAGGGGCTGGGATGTGGTAACACAAGTGGGTTGTCCTGAGTTCATGTCCTGTGTGTGGATATTGAAATCTCCAAGCTGTCTAGGAAAATTAATTAATCCTTGGAGCTCCCAGCTGGGCTTGGCAATGGGAATGACTCTGAGCTCAGCTGTGTAAAGAAAGGAGCAGAGCAGAATCCTCCTCCTGTTCTGCCTTATTTCACCAGCAGTTTGAACACTGCTTACCTGGGTGGGTTTGGGTTTCATGAGCGAACAGAGAAATTCAATCTCCCCTTCTGCTTCAGAGTCTTGCCAGCAAAATGACAGAAAATGTCATTTTACAGCCTCTGCCTTGCTTTGGCTGGCTGGGATTTGGTTTCATTGCAGCTCCTCATTTCCCTAGCAATTAAACATACCAATTAAATATCTGATGCCACTTTGGTTACATTACAGGAGGTGACCCAAAAGATTCTGGAGGCTGTGGGGACCATTGCTGGTTCTTCCCTGGAACAGACCAGTTGGCTGAGCAGGAATTTGGAAGTGAAAGCTCAGCCTCAGATTTTACCAGATGAATTCAACATGGAGGATGTCAATGGTAATGTGACTTTCTCTGACTCCTGCTGCTCCCTGTCCTCTGCTGCAGGCAGTGAAGAGCACAAGGGGTTTGATGATGTGTGCTTTGCATGATTTCATATTTCATGTAATGCCAATTTGCACATAAATGTTCTATTTGAGCAGCAGATTAGGAAACAGCAACATTTAAACCTGTCTGAAGAGAAAACTCGATTATTTTGCTTTTTTTTAGATACATCAGTGGTACCATCTTCAATGGTTTCTGCCTCTGCTCCTTCAATCTACAGTGTCCAAGCCCTTTCTCTCCTGGCAGAGGTCAGTGGGGCCCTCTTATCTCTGGGGTTTCTTAAGCTGAGGACCTCCTCACTGTGCACAGCTCCTGAAAGGTGCCTGTGCTCAGCTGGGGCTGGGCTCTGTCTCCAGGCAGCACTGACACAACCAGAGCACACAGCCTGCAGCTGCACCGAGGGAAATACATGCTGGATAGCAGGAAAAAGTTTATTCCAGAATGGTGATAAAGTTTTGGAATGGCTGCCTGGGGAGGTGGTGCAGTCACCATCCCTGGGGGTGTTTAACAAAGCCTGGATGTGGCACTGGGGCCAGGGTTTGGTTGAGCTGTTGGGGCTGGGTTGGACTTGATGTTCTTGAAGGTCTCTTCCAACCCAGTGATCCTGGGATTCTGTGTTTCTGTGAAGAGAATTTTCCTGACAGATTAAACAGGAGTGCCAGTCTTTTGGGAGCTATTCAACTCACACATTTCCAGCCTGAACCATGGCTGGAGCACTTGCTGCAGTGCCAGCCGTGGGTGTGCAGAGCTCTGTGTCCCTTGTCAGGTGCTGGCCTCGCTGCTGGACGTGGTGTACCGCAGTGATGAGAAGGACAAGGCCGTGCCCCTCATCTCCCGCCTGCTCTACTTCGTGTTCCCCTACCTGCGGAACCACAGGCCAGTCTCTCCCTGCTCCTGCCATTTCCCTGCCTCATCTTTTTGTTTTCCCTTGTTTCTCCATTCTCTGTTCCCATTCTAATGGGTTTGAGCTGGGTTTGAGCACTGTTTCCCCAGGAGCTGAACCGTTGTTGTTTGAGCTCTGCTTCCCCCACTGGGGATTTTGGGTTTTACTCAATCTCCCCTTTCTGTGCCTGTCAGGGGATGGGGATGGGGCAGCAGAGCATGGGAGGTGCAGGATCCACCAGGAAGCAGAAAAGCATCATCTGTCCCTATTCTCTCCCTAGTTTTTCTCACAAATGTGGGAGAGATGGATGATATCCAATGGGGACACAGGGCATGGAATGGTTTGGGTTGGAAAGGACCTCAAAGCCCATCCAGTGCCAGCCCTGCCATGGCAGGGACACCTTCCACTGTGCCAGGCTGCTCCAAGCCCCAGTGTCCAACCTGGCCTTGGGCACTGCCAGGGATCCAGAGGCAGCCACAGCTTCTCTGGGAATTCCATCCCAGCCCTGCCCTCCCCACCCTACCAGAGAACAATTCCTTCCTAAAATTGCATTCAAACCAACCCTTTTGTGAGCTGGGATCTGTTTTTGAACTTTAAAAAAGCCCATATTGATAATTTTTGTCCTCTCCCATAGTGCCTACAACATTCCCAGTTTCCGTGCTGGTGCTCAGCTGCTGAGCTCCCTGAGTGGATACGCCTACACCAAGAGAGCCTGGAAAAAAGAAGTGCTGGAATTGTACATGGATCCATCTTTTTTCCAGATGGACACTTCCTGCACTCAGTAAGATATGGAATTGCAGCACTCTGAGCTTGTATTCTGAATTTATAAGGAAAGGTTTTAAAGGAGAGGAGTAACACTGGGAAGAAAATTCCACTTAGTGCTTTCTTATAGGATAATGTTAAAAATGGGTCTCAGCACTAATTCTGCTCCAGACAAGAGTCTGCACACAAATCCTGCCTGGAAACCGTTTTCTTGTATGGAAAGTTTGACCCAAATTATTTCTGAGGTGAATCCACACCACAGGTTTCCCTGGATATCTAATTCCTTCTTTCTCTCCTGCAGCTGGAGATCCATCATTGATCATCTCCTCACACATGAGAAAACCATGTTTAAGGATTTAATGAGTAAGTATCAGCTGCTGATAATGTATTTCTACCTCAATTTGAAATCTATTTGCATCTGAGCCATTTGGGTGCATTTTTATTACACTGATTTATCCATAAAGGGCTGACTGCACATAATTGACCATTTTGGGAACTTGATTCCCAGCTAAAGCTGAGTTAAATCTGGATTTTGATCATGTCTAAAACACACCAGTGGAGATTTTGCTGTAGAGGTGCTTCTGTTGGGCTCCCACATTCACATTTTGCTCTAGTTTTGAGGTGTCCAAGTGTGACCTTTCACAGGAGGAGACTTTGGCAAACTCTGCAGGTGTCTGCCATGAGCAGTGCAGCAAACCTTCCTTTGCTGTGCTGTGACCTCTAATCCAGGCTCAAGGGGAGTGTGGAAGAACAAATCCTGGGGAAGGGGTGGGATGGGACCCCTTAGAGTGGCCTCAAGCACCTTTAGTCTCTTTTTCATCCTTGCTAAAAAAATAATTCAACAGTTACAACACAAGACAAATTTTATTCCGCAAGACAAATTCACGGTTGCTGACCCAAGAGAGTTCTTTTACTGGAAGATTTCAGGACCCAGGGATTATCCCCAGCCCCAAAGGCAGGCAGTTCCTGTGGGGTGGATAACTGTGCTGTGTGTTGCAGCCATGCAGAGCAGTGCCCTGAAGCTGTACCCCAGCTTTGAGCAGAAGGCCATGCTGCTGAAGCGCCAGGCGTTCGCCGTCTTCAGCGGGGAGATCGACCAGTACCACCTGTACCTGCCCCTGATCCAGGGTGAGCCTCCATCCCTGCCCTTCCCTGCAGCTGCAGCACAAATCCCTTGGGACACAGAAGCCCCTGGATCCCTGGCAGTGCCCAAGGCCAGGATGGATGGGGCTTGGAGCAGCCTGGGGTAGATGAAGGTGTCCCTGCCCCTGGAGCTGGCTGATCTTTAATGTCCCTCCCAACCCAAACCATTCCATCATAGAAATTCTGTAAGAAAGCAAAGTCACCTCTTTTCCAACAAGTGCTTCGGGGTTATTTTAATTTTGAATAAAATTGATGAATCTTTGAGTTCCAACAGATAAATGACCTCAGCAAGGAAAGGCAGGAATCTTGGTTTCAAGGCCTTTGGTCTGGAAATGGGATTATTTCATGGCAACCTTCCAGCCACTCTTGACCTGCTGTTGTTCTCTTTAAATGCCAGTTTTGATCACATTTTGTGCACCACAAACCACTTGGGCTTTGTCTGAATTACAATTCAGTTAATAGAATGCAAAGAACTTAGCCCAAAACTGATGATCAAATAAAAATTGTGATTTGCCACCTTCTACAAGGTGGAGAGGGAGCTTTCACAAGGGCTGGAGTGACAGGACAAGGGAATGGCCTTAAACTGCCAGAGGGCAGGGTTGGATGGGATCTTGGGAATTAGGAATTGTTCCCTGGCAGGGTGGGCAGGGCTGGGATGGAATTCCCAGAGCAGCTGGGGCTGCCCCTGGATCCCTGGCAGTGCCCAAGGCCAGGTTGGACACTGGGGCTTGTTGATGACTCTCAGTGTGTGGCGGGGCTACGAGGCTTGACTCCATTTCAGAAGGCTGATTTATTATGTTAGATATTATATTAAAATGCTACATTAAGACTATACTAAAAGAACGGAGAGATCAGAAGGCTCAACAAGAACGAACAGAACAGAATAGAATAACAAAAATCCTGTGACTGCTCACAGCCTTGGCACAGGTGGCTGTGATTGGTCATCAATGGAAAACAATCCACATGCACCAATCACAGATGCACCTGTTGCATTCCACAGCAGCAGATAGTAATTGTTTACATTTCTCTCCTGAGGCTCCTCAGCTTCTCAGGAGAGGAAAAATCCCAGCAAGGATTTTCCATAATATCATGGCTACAGGGGCTGGAGCAGCCTGGCACAGTGGAAGGTGTCCCTGCCATGGCAGGGGTGGCACTGGGTGGGCTTTAAGGTCCCTTCCAACCCAAATGATTCTGTAATTCCACACTTTAATTCTCAAAACAATACACATTCAGGAAAATGCTGCTTTTATTTTGCTTTTTCCCTTTTTTATGCTTCCTCCAGAACGCCTGACTGAGAACCTCCGCGTGGGCCAGACTTCTCTGGTGGCTGCCCAGATGTTTCTCTTCTTCAGAGTTCTCTTGTTGAGGATTTCCCCTCAACATCTCACCTCGTTGTGGCCAATCATGGTCACAGAACTGGTAAGAAAGAAGTTTTGAACATTTAAAAAAAAAAAAAAATTACATTTGAAAAAAAATCAGCCTGTGGTTTTTCCCAGTTTAGATTTTTCCTCTTCCCTGCTTGGAAATGTTTCCACAGTTTTGCATTAATCTGATCATGTGTGGAGGAAATGTTAAATTGTGATTAGGAAATTCCTTTTGGATTAATTTTGGTGTTGTTAACGGAATCTGTTGCCTGAGTTATTAATTTGTTACAAGTCATAAAGGTTCCTTTTCAATGTCAGTCATCACTTTTAGATGGGATTGAGTTGTATGAATATTTCAGCTTCTCAATAATTATTTCTTTAAAGATCCAGACATTTCTACAGCTGGAGGAAGATTTAACTGAGGAAGAGGAACCAGCAAAGTAAGAGCTGCCATTTGAGAGATTCTTTAAAATTAATTAATTTAATTAATGCTCTGAGATAGGGAGGAGAGTTTGAGAGATTTCTTTAAAATTAATAAATTAATTCTCTGCAATAGGGAGGAGCCAACAGGACATTTTGCTATTGGATTTTTATTTTTCTATTACTGTTAAAAAAATTTAGATTTTTTTTAGCAGCTTAAATAGTGATATGCTTAAAAATATATGTACTAATTATTAGTTGTGTACAAAAATAAATGCTAAGTTGGCAGTCAAATATTTTAACATGGTGCCATTTTTTGGTATGTTTTAGATTATTTTGCTCCTACAGAGCAAAAATAAAATGAAAATACTTGTACAAGAGCCTCCTACAGAATAAAAATAATGGTCCAAGAGCTCCTTTGTGTAAATATGGGCATTCCTCTTGTGCTGACTGAAAAACCTTGGGTGGATTGGAGTTTGAATGGACCTTTTTTTAAATTGAAACACAGGAGCAACAGCAAAATCAGCAAAGCCAAAGGCTCGGGGGATGGCAGCGGGGCTGAGATCCAGCCCAAGGAGCTGTGCCTGTACCTGGCAGCCTGCAAATTCCTGGACACAGCACTTTCCTTCCCCCCTGACAGGATGCAGCTCTTCCAAATGTGAGTCTCTCTTCTCCTCCTGTTCCTTTATCCTTTAAAGGAATTGTGTTTCCCTCACGATTTCATTTTGCCTTTCATCAGTTCCTTTTAGGAGTGCTGATATTGGATATATGGCGATAAATATGGTGATAAATGGGATTTGGGAGAAAAGTTTGGTCTTGGTATAGGAGGATTTCCCTATCCTCTTTAGGATTCCTTAACTTGGAAAACTGGGAGAGGAGAAAGGTGAAGATTGTTTTCCATCTGCACATACCTGGGAATGTTTTGGGGCTGGTTGTATTTAAATATTGACAAATTAGTAATGTAATAATTCATTAATAGCAACGGAGAACACTGATGAGAGATTTTTGTAGAAACAACCGGTACTGCACTAAAGTAGGCTTGATCCAAACAAGGGTTTTCATCTTTTTAAGGAATCAATCAATTTTTTTCAGGTACAAATGGGCCTTTGTGCCAGAGGTGGACACAGAATCATCTCCTGTCACCTCCCACCTGGTGGAAAACCACCAGGAATGCCAACCACACATCGTGAGGATCATGGATCTGCTCAGGATGAAATATGGGGTAAACAAACTTCTTATTTTTTTAATACATTAATTTACTTTTCCAAACACAAGATTTTTAGTTATTCAGAGTTATTTAGATATTCCCTGTGAGGAAGAGGAAGAGCAGCTGTGGCTGCCCCTGGATCCCTGGCAGTGCCCAAGGCCAGGCTGCATGGGGCTTGGAGCAGCCCGGGGTAGATGAAGGTGTCCCTGCCCCTGGAGCTGGCTGATCTTTGGTGTCCCTCCCAACCCAAACCATTCCATCATAGAAATTCTGTAAGAAAGCAAAGTCACCTCTTTTCCAACAAGTGCTTCGGGGTTTTTTTTAATTTTGAATAAAATTGATGAATCTTTGATTTCCAACAGATAAATGACCTCAGCAAGGAAAGGCAGGAATCTTGGTTTCAAGGCCTTTGGTCTGGAAATGGGATTATTTCATGGCAACCTTCCAGCCACTCTTGACCTGGTGTTGTTCTCCTTAAATGCCAGCTTTTAAGTTATTGAAGGGATTTTTAGATATTCCCTGTGAGGAAAAGACTGCCCAGAGCAGCTGTGGCTTCTTCTGGATCCCTGGAATTGTCCAAGGCCAGGTTGGACAATGGGGCTTGGAGCACCATGGGACAGTGGAGGAGCTCATGGATGAGCTGGATGATCTTCAAGGTCCTTTCCAACCTTTACCTTTATTACATCCCCGCTTTTTTTCTTTTCAGGACCCAGAGCACCCCGAGGGAGCTGCCAGGAATCCCAAATTCCCCCTGCTGAGCCTGCGCTCCGTGTCCAGCATCACCCAGCTGCTGCCTTTCTTCCAGACTCTGTGCTGGGCCTTCACAGCCCGAGGCAGTGACCCCCACAATTCCCACCCCTCTGCAGCTGCCTCCGTGGATTCTCTTGGCAGCAACAGCAGCAGGATCCTGCAGCAGCTGGAGGACAGTGTGGAATGTGACTTCCTGGAAAATATGGAAAGTTGAGCCTCACCTGGGACACTCCTGCTGGATCAAACACAGGGAAAGCTTGGCTGAAATTCCATTTTTTTTCCCCCAAATTTCCAGCTACGTTTTGGGATTTCTCTTCTATTATTCAGGAGCTGGTGGTAAAAAGCAGGAATCTCCTGTTGCTGTGGTGGGAAAAAAGGGCAGTTTGGTGGGAATTTCTCAGAGTTCCTGTGTTTTATTTGTTTTCCATGGGAAGGATTAAAGACATTTTGTACATAGGGGAAGAATATTTTGAACTTGGTGGAAGCAGCAGCTGTCCTGGGACTTCTCCCGGACTTTAAAGTGCTTTTGGAACTGTGTCCTGAAGGAAAATTGAAGGAAAATCCAATATTGCATGTTAGTGTACAATCAGTTTGCAGCGAGTCATTTCCTGAGGTGAAATCCCTTAATTTGACCTAAATTGATCAAATTCCAAACAAATGCCCCAAATTCCTCACAGATGGATTGGCTGAGTCTCATCATTGTGCAAGGAGCTGCAGCTTTTCCCTGGCTGTAATTTCAGCTCTGTGCTAGAACAGCATCTTCAGGCGTAGCAAATCCTTATAAATCAGAAATGTGCATAAAACACAAACCTTTGCAGGAACATTTTGTAATTTGCATTACTTGAGGGGGTTTTTATTTTAATTAATTGATTAAAAGATTTAAATTAATATTTTTTAAATTATAAACTTTTGTTCTTTCAGTGACTCAGGTGGCTGCAGCTTCTGAAATGCAACTAAATGAAGATAATGCTGTAAAAATAGAAATTGCTTAACTAAAATGAAAATAATATTCTTTTTTTGTTTTTGTAAGAACATTTTTTGTACAAAAGAATGTATTTGGCTGTTCCTGGATGGTGAGAGAGGTAGGGGGATCATCCCAGTGCTTTTCCTAAATTAAAAAGGACATGGGAAAAATTTGGTTGGGAATCAAGGATTTCTTTTTCCCAAACTCTCATAACAACGAGGGAGGCTTCTCTGCAGTGGGTTTTAGGTACAGATGGATGAGATTTTCATCTTGGGTTTATAAACTAAAATAATGAAACATCCTTTACTCTTGCACTGGAATACTGTACAAAAATAACAGCACAATAGGCTTGTGCTAAACTTATTTAAATCCTTTGCATTTTTACAGTGAACGAAAGTGGTGGACTGAGGTGTGGTCATTAAGAATGTGAATTGTTTCTATTAATATAATTTATTAATGGTCTCTAATGCTGTTGGAATGAGCACAAGTGGAAAGTTTCCCTTTGAAAGCATTACTTGAATATTGGAGCAGGCCACTGTTAAAATGTTGGTGTTTATTTCCTACCTGTCTGCAATAATTGTTAGGGATAATCTGAACACTCAGGATGGTTTGGTACTTTCAGTTTCCTGCTGGTTGCATTCCATACTTGGATCTTTCCCTTAAAATGCTCAGAAAGGAGAGCAAGGTTAGATGGGGTGTTGGGAAGGAATTCCTGGCTGGGAGGGGCTGGGATGGAATTCCCAGAGCAGCTGTGGCTGCCCCTGGAGCCCTGGCAGTGCCCAAGGCCAGGTTGGACACTGGGGCTGGAGCAGCCTGGCACAGGGGAAGGTGTTGTCCTGCCATGGCAGGGGTGGCACTGGGTGGGCTTTGAGGTCCCTCCAACCCAAATCATTCTAGGATTCCATGATTCTGTTATTCCATCATTCTATCCAATGGTGTTAAAATCTAAGAGAACTTTTTGTCATTAAACTGCTTTCAGTGGCATCAGACATTTAAGGAATTTGCAGAATCCTTCCACTTCAGAAGAAAAAGTTCTTTAAAATTTAGTATCCAAGTAGATCTTTTATAAATAGCATGTGAAAAAGGAGGAAAGGGCTTTAACTAAAAGTCCTGCTTGAGTGCTGGAGGGGCACAGTTCCACAGGTCAAAAGGGGAGTATTTTATTCCTTTATTCCATAACTATTACTTTCCCATGTGGGACTAACTGTGGTTGTTTTCTCCTACTGATAAATCCACTGAGGAGCCGCAGCAGGGCTCTCCTGCTCTGAGCTGGTCCTACCAAAGCAGAACAACCTCGCTGTCCATGAATCTGGAAACATTTTGCCTGGAACTCCAGACATCCTCTCCTGTTCCAGGACAGGAAATGCTTTTGCTTTGCTGTGATTTTGCTTTTCAGTCTAACCAAGCTCAGCTTTGTCTTTTGGACACTTCAGCTCCAATACAGCAGAAAGCGCTCAGAGGGAGACTTGGAAATATTCCAAAGGATTTCATTGTCCTGAAAGAAAAAAATCAGGAGGTGCAACCAAGGTAAACTGCTGAAGAGCAGCAGGACTTGAAGTGTAGAGCATTAAGTGATGGTTGTGTATCCCATACCATACATGAATGTAATTCTTCTATTAATATTAAATGTTATTTTGCAATGCCTTTTCAAATGCAGTTCTTATTTTTCAACCTGCCTTCACTGCTCACTCACCAATTTTAATTTTTATCTGACTCTGGAAAAGCTCCCAAATTCAATCACAGAAAAGATCTCCAAGATCTTTTCCAAGGTCCCAGCTGTGCCCCGTGCCCACCTTGTCCCCAGCCCAGAGCTCTGAGTGCCACATCCAGGGGACACCTCCAGGGATGGGCACTCCAAAGCTCCCTGGGCAGCTCCTTCCAAGGCCTGAGCACCCTTTCCATGGGCAAATTCCTGCTGAAAATCCCACCTCAGGGGATGAGGGCTGTGGATCCCAGGAGCAGGACTCTGCTGCCCCTGCCTTGGGAGAGGCTGTGCTGCTCCTCTCTTCCCGTCTCATCCCACAGCCCTGCTGCTCCACCTCCTGCATCCCTGGCCTTTACAGCCCTGGAACTGGCGCACTGAGATCCCTGTCCCTGCCTGGGACAAGCTTTGGGGAGCTGTGTCTGGAACAGGGAGCTGCTGCAGGGATCATGGATTGACCCTGGGTGGAGAGAGAGACTTCCCAGGAAATCAGGAGCTGCTGCTGCACAGCTCCAGCCTGAACATTTCACATAGCCAAGGCAGTGCCCTGGAATAAATCTCTTTCCTCTTCATCCAGAGAGAAGAACACTCTTCTGTACCATGATCTTTAACAGCTCAGGCTGGAGGAGTGTGGTTTACATGACTGTGTGTGGTAGTTTTAGTTTGAAATTGGGTGGAAATACTGATTTTGTGTAGTGGTTTTGGTTTGTTAATTTGAGATTTTTTTGGTTAATGTACTAATTAGTGTGGTGGGTTCAGTGTTGGTTAATTATTAGTGTACTCACTAGAATGTATTTACTTATTTTTTGCTGTGATATAGGATTAGGAGAAAGGTAAAGTAGGTTTAAAATTTTAGAAGGATATAAAGAAAAAATTATTAACAGCAACTAAAAGAGTAATAGGAATTAGAATAAAATCTTTAGGATACCTTTTTCTTCCAACTTTTTCTTTTTTACTGACAATGTAAAGAAATAAAACCTAAAATTTCAGTCAGTTTACGACTTCTAAAATAGTCTTTTTTTAGTTTATTTAGAGAAGTTCCTCTTGTTAATGTTATGGAGACTTCTCTACAAGAAAACAGTTTTCTCGTGATTCTCTTTATGAATAGCAGCCACCCGGGGAAACTGGTAATTGTGAAATCCTTCTCATTTTTTGTAAGTTTTCTTTTAGTTGTGTTTATGGGCTATGCTAACTTATGGGGTTCTGTTTTAAAGAGGAGTTGTTTAAAGGTAAAGGTTCTCATTATCTATCTCTGAAATCCTCTTCTTCTTGGGGGTACAGCATCTTTATCACTCTTCTTTCTCTGTTTAAAGTTCTCCCAGGATCACAGTTACTTCACCATCTGTTTATTTTAGTGTGGAGGCTACACTGAGGGAAAGCTGCTGCTCCCATTTCACCCTTCCCTGTACCCAGGGCCTCCCCTGGAACATTGTGAGGGGCTGATGTGGATGTGCCAAACACCGAGAGCTGTGGAGCCATCCAAGGATTGCTGTGAGGAACAGGATGTGGCTGGGGAAGGGGCCATGAGGAGGTGGGGCAGCAATTTCTGGGACAAATGTCCTTGTTCTGGCACAGGGAATGTCAGACAAAATTCCCAGATGCTTCTCCAGGGTCATCCTGCTCTGCTCCAGGAGACAAGCTTGGCTGCTGGGGTCAAAGAAGAGAATCCCAGGATCACCAAGGCTGGAAAAGACCTCTAGGCTCTGTCAAGATCCAGTTATTAAAACTATTAAAAATGTCTCTGCCTGAATTAAGGTGCAAACGAGACCATATGCCATGACAATAGTATGGGTTTTATCTGATAGTAAATATGAGAGACAGAAAACAAAGAGATAGAAAAGTGGTGTGCGGGAACAGGAAGAGAGTGGCAGGGACAGAATAAAGAAAATGTCACCACTCCACGGATCCCAGTGATGTTGTATGGATCTTCTCCAGAGCTCTTGGTGCGAGGATCCCACAAAAGCACAGAATCCCAAGGGTTAATGTAGCTCAGGCCCGGGGGGAATGCCCAGGGCTGTCTCTTGCAGCAGACTCCAGATCTGTTGCATCCCGTGCAGTCCTGAGGTGCAAGACTTCAGGAATGACTCAGGGGGGCATTTTGGGACGGATTCTGACACCCCCTGAGGTGTCCCTCATGTGAATGTCCCGTGGGTGTGCCCTGTGGGCTGGGGCTTTGTGTAGGGGAGGATGGATGCTCAGTGCCTCTGAACTTGGGGTGAACCTCTGAGGTGACACCCAAAAGCTCCTCCCCTCCTCTTTCAGGGACGCTGTGGAAAGCTGGCCACTGTGGGCTGTGCTCTCCACACCCCAAACCCTGCCAGAAAAGCATCTCTGCTGGGCTTGGCTCTTTTTTTCCCCTCTCCCTCAGTCCTGTTTGTCTGTCCCTAGGCTGGGATGATTGAACAACAGTGTATCTAGGAGTTCAACTTACAGTCCAAAGTCCCAGTCAGGTGGAGGCTTCTGTGGTTGCAGTTTCTTTATAGAGTTTTTGTTATAATGGGCAAAACTCTTTCACAACAACGCTCAAGGCGTGAATCATTTCAGTCCCGGAAGGCTCCTCACGCCCAGCCATGACCCCAGCACCACCACCACGTTCACCATTAAACCCCAGCCTCAAGTGCCACAACTACAAGTTTTTTGAACGTTTCCAGGGATGGGGACTCCACCACAACCCTGAGTGTCCTGTTCCAGTGTTTGACCATCCTTTCCAGGAAGAAATGTTTCCTAATATCCACCCTGAGCCTGCCCTGGCCCAGCCTGAGGCCGTCCCTCTGCTCCTGTCCCTGTTCCCTGGAGCAGAGCCCGACCCCCCCGGCTGTCCCCTCCTGGCAGGGACTTGTGCAGAGCCACAAGGGCCCCTGAGCCTCCTTTGCTCCAGGCTCAGCCCCTTCCCAGCTCCCTCAGCCCCTGCTGGGGCTCCAGCCCGTTCCCAGCTCCGTTCCCTGCCCTGGACACGCTCCAGCCCCTCCAGGTCTCTCCTGCAGGAGCAGAACTGGGCACAGCCCTCGAGGGGCCTCTCAGAGCCAGCACAGAGGGACAATCCCTGCCCTGCTCCTGCTGGACACACAATTCCTCATCCAGCCCAGCTGCCAGGGGCCTCTTGCCCACCTGGGCACCCCTGGGCTCGTGTCCAGCCCTGTCCCCAGCACCCCCAGGGCCTCTGGGGCACTTTCCCACAGCGCTCCTTCTCTCCAGGCACTCGGAGTGTTCCTGTCTGGATTTAGAAGCAGAACGGTTTCTACTTCGGCATTTCTGCTGATTCCAGGTGTCCAGGGCAGGGAACGGAGCTGGGAAGGGGCTGGAGCCCCAGCAGGGGCTGAGGGAGCTGGGAAGGGGCTGAGCCTGGAGCAAAGGAGGCTCAGGGGGCCCTTGTGGCTCTGCACAAGTCCCTGCCAGGAGGGGACAGCCGGGGGGGTCGGGCTCTGCTCCAGGGAACAGGGACAGGAGCAGAGGGAACGGCCTCAGGCTGGGCCAGGGGAAGTTTAGGTTGGATACTGAGAAATTTTTTTTCCTGGAAAGGGTGCTCAGGTCTTGGCAGGGGCTGCCCAGGGAGGTTTGGAGTGCCCATCACTGGAGGTGCCACCTGGAGGTGGCACTCACTGCTCTGAGCTGGGGACAAGGCGGGGCTCGGGCACAGCTGGCCAGGATGACGTCCAAGCCTCATCCCAATCTAACCCATCCCCTCACTCCGCCCCGCCGCCATCCCCTCACAGCGCCCTCAGCTCCAGCCCCGCCCACTGCGAGGGGGCGTGGCTTCACAGCAAGCCCCGCCCCGCGTGCGCGCGCCCGGCGCCGGAAGCGCGAAAGGCCGCGGGGAGGCGGAAGCGCGCGCGGGGCCGCGGCCTGAAGATGGCGGCGAAAACACAGGGCGGGATCCGCCTGAGCGCGGTGAGTGCGAGGGGACGGCGGGGCCGGGGCAGGGCACCTGAGGGACCGGCTCGGGACCGGCTCCTTCCAACCTGCTGCCATGGCCAGAGACACCTTCCACCGTCCCAGGCTGCTCAGAGCCCCGTCCAGGCTGGCCTTGGACGCTTCCAGGGTCACTCCCTCAGCGAGCGCCGCCGCGTCTCTGCGGGGGACGAGGGACCGGGGGCTTCCCCGCCCTCATCCTGGCTCAGAGCCGGGAAAATGCCCTGCTGTCGGTCCGGCCGGGCTGTCCGAGGGGAAGGTGAGGGCTGGGGGTGGGCTCGGTGTTGGGGGCGGGATTTCCCCGCCTCTGGCGAGCGCCGTGACCTCTAATTGCCGACTCGTAATTTCAAATCTTAACTACTTTTATTGCAAGCGGTCTAATTACATTTTAACCCTAATTGCGTCTGAGAGGGATGAGTGTTCACGCAGTTCAGTGCTGCTGTGTTGTGTTTTCAGTCGCAGTATTGTTGCTGAGGTGTTGTGGCAATCGGTTTGTGCCGATGGAAATGAAGTTAAAGCTGCTTTTTCAGGTGAAACAGGAGGGTTTTTTCCGAGTCAGTGCTTCTAAATGTCACCTGTTCCCATCGCCTTGCTTTAGAACAGTGAAAAGAAGCAGGAGTGCTCTGATGAGTAACTTAGGAAATATTTGAGTGAAAAAGGTGTGTTCGAATGCATTCAGCACTGCTGGAATTACAGAATCGTTTAGGATGGGAAATACCTCCCAGATCCTTGAGTCCAACCTCTGGCTGAAATTTTATCACCTAATTTATGTTACCCTAGTATCCATTTCTGGTACTTTAATATGAATTTATATTACCCTAATAAAAGTTGCTAAAATAAATTATTCTAGAGATGAGCCATAAATATCATCTCCTTGAAGTTCCAAAATTGCATTTTGATTTCAGGCCTTTAATTCTTGGAAGTGTTTGAAATCCAGTTGCTGTGATGTTTTATTGCAGCAGGGTTGTCCTGTTTCTTTAGATGAAGATTTAGATTTATTATTATGTTTTGGACATATTATTGGTTGTCTTGAGAGGAAAAAGTATCAAAAATCAGCCTTTGCATGTGGCAGTTCAGAGTTTAAAATCATTCTCAGGTTGAAATCACTTTGCCAAGCTGAACTCTCAGAAGTACAAACGAAACAAGATGCGCTTGGTAACTTTCTGAATTATTTTTAGGCTGCTCTTTGGTTTTGTCTGCTGCAGGCACAACTGAGAATTTGCATTCAGTGGCTTTCCAGCGAAAGCTGTAGGTTTTGTAGGGTTTTTCTTTTTTTTTTTTCTTTTTTTTTTTTTTTTTCCTCAGGTGAAGCAGCTGATGCAGTTTTGACCAGGTCTGTAAAAAGCTTTGTAATGCAGAGAATTGCGGGGAGAGCTGATAGTCACAGCTCTTTGGGATCCAAAGTATTTCCCGTGGATTCAGAGGCACTGGGAGGGCCTGGGAATTCATTCCCAGCCTGGAATTTATCTCCTGCTGGTGCTCTGGCAATATTTTTGTCCAGCTGAACAAAGAAGCAGCACGGGGAAGTGATCCAGGTTAATATTTTAAGAGTGATTTGTAATTTGGATCGGTCCCTTGATGTGGTTCATTGAACAGTGCTGACCTGGGATTGTGTAGCTGGCAGGAGAAATTTCAGGAAGTTTCATGAGGAATTTCTGTCTGGAAAGGGTGCTCAGGCCTTGGCAGGGGCTGCCCAGGGAGCTTTGCAGTGCCCATCCCTGCAGGTGTCCCCTGGGGGTGGCACTGAGTGCTCTGGGCTGGGGACAAGGAGGGCATTGGGCACAGCTGGGACTCCATGGGCTGGGAGGGCTTTTCCAGCCTCAATAATTCCATGAAAATGGCAGAGTTGTTCCCAAGAAGTTGTTAAATAAATGCAGGCTAAAGCAAGATGTATTTTCCACTCAAATGCATGAATTACTGTAGTGATGATGGGTGACACATAAAAAACCCCCAAAAATTTGTTATGTGCAAGTAATAAGTTCCTGAGATGAGGTAAACTCTGCAGGAGTTTAGGATTTGTGCACACCTGAGGATCTGCAAGGGGTGGGAAACTGAAATTCCCAAAGCTACCTGTCGTTTTTGAGAGAAAAACTGCTTTATTGAATTGTTGCTGGTTATAACTGCAGGGGATGCTGTTCTCAGGACAGTTCAGTTTCAGATGTGCAGGTTTGGCTGCACAGAAAAAATGAAATTACTAAACAAAACCCACTTAGTAACAAAATATATTTGGCTGAGCGAGCAAAACAGCTGGATTGGTAAAATGAGTGTTCAGCTCTTACTGAATCTCAATTAATTATGAGCTAATTAAAGTGGTGCATTGATGAATGAAGTGTAAGGACAAACGGACTGAAATATTTCCTGGTGAGTTCATCAGGAATTAGGGAGTGGTTGCTGACAGCTGGATTGCTCTGGAGGAAACTACAAAACTGATGGCCTTAAACCACTGTTGTGCTCTTCAATCTGGTTTTGTGCCCTTGTCTCAGTGAGGAAGGCCAGGCTGGAAGTGGCTTGGAGCATCCTGCTGAGCTGGAAAGTGTCCCTGCCTGCGGCAGGCGTTGGGACTGGGTGGTCTTCCCAGTCCCTTCCAGCCCAGACCAGTGTGGAATTCTGTGCTCAGGTGGTGCTGTGTGCTCTGAGGTAACTTTCCCATGAATTCCCCGTGGCACACTTGCTCAGCTTTTGCTGCGGGATGGGACATTGGTTCCAGTTCCCACCTTCCCCTTCCTTCGCCTGTCACAATTCCCAGTCCTGTGAACCACATGCAGCCTTTCTCAAGCCCTCCCCCAGGCAGTGATCTGGGGAATGCCAGCAGGATTCCTGTGATGTTGTTTTCAGAATTCCCACTGGTTCACAGCAGAGGAGCTGTCGTGTTACACAGGCAAGGTTTGATTTCTGTGCACACAGAATGGTTTGGTTCACAGGCAAAAAAGGACATTTATTGGTGGTGGTGCCACTGTGGGTGACACTGAGGTTCTTTCTGTCCTTCCTCAGCGTTGTCTGATGGTCAGGGGAGGTGCTGCTTCCTTTTCAGAAGGAATTTCTTCCTGGAAAGGGTGCTAGGCCTTGGCAGGGGCTGCCCAGGGAGCTTTGCAGTGCCCATCCCTGCAGGTGTCCCTGGAGGTGGCACTGAGTGCTCTGGGCTGGGGACAAGGTGGCCATGGGGCACAGCTCGCACTCCCTGGGCTGGGAGGGCTTTTCCAGCCTCAGGGATTCCATGAGACTCCCAAGTGTGAGTTGATGCCTCTGACAAAACCACAGTCAGGACTTCTTGCCAAGTCCCTCTTGCTGAGATTCCAATGAATCCAGCAGGGAATCCAGCATTTCCAGCCTCCTGTGTGGCTGGAGTTGTTCAGTGTTTCAGCTGGGAGCTGAGCAGATGCCAAATCCCTGAATGTGCATCCCTGTGGTGGGTTGGGATTTTTAAATATGGATTTGTTTTTGCCAGGGAGGGATTTCAGGTGGGGAAAACCCCACAGTTGTTTCTGGTGGATTTTGATCCCGAAGTTTAGAAAACCAAGGAGCAGATGCTGGAGAATCAGATGAGGAGGATCACCCAGGGCTCTGAGGATCCCCTGAGCTCCTGCACAGCAGAGGGAGAAATCCAAAGATCCTTTTGCCCACGTGCCGTGGCACATGTGAGGTTTCCATTAATAGCCCAGAGGAATTTTCTTTTGGATTTGGAATTACTTGGAGTGTTGTTGGGAGCACCCTGGCTTAGCCTGACTCCATGCACCAGATTCTGTAAACCTGGAGCTCTCCAGCACAGATGGCAACGAGGAAGGGGCTGTCTCCTCCCTCTGGTGCTCCATGGAGAAATGCAGGGATTAGGTTGCAGTTGGAATTGTGTCATGTGCTGCTGTGACCTGAGAATCGAGGTGATGGCTCTTGGCACGTTCTGTTGCTCTGAACCAGGGCTGCTGCTTCTCCCTGTGCCTTTCTCCTGCTCTGGTGCTGGTTTGTGGCTCTAGGATTTGCTTTTGCACCATTCCTTTTCACCTTGGAGCTCTGAAGTGGCTGCTTGCTTTTATTTGCACTTTTATGTACACTTGAGTTTTATTTATACTTCATACCTTGATAAAAGTGCTTGACAACGAGTAACTCTGTAAAAATTATGCAGTATGGATATGTACACAGTATTTATAAATCTCTCTCAGATTTTCCCTATGTTGTGGGTTTTTTGTAACTCAGTGGTACAAGGGCTGTTTTCAGTGTTTTGTGTTCATAGGTGCTGCTTTTTCTGCCATCACCACGGCTCTGGCAGGGGGGCTTGAGCAAATCTGTGCAGGGGGTTTGTGTTAAAGGCTTTGCAGGAGTGTGTAACCATGGATTTCCTCAGGGATAATGCAAACACAAGAAGCAGCTGCAGCAGTTAAAATTTCTCCAGGTGTTGCTTGGATGGGTCCTTAACTTACATGGATTTTTAGTTCTGCTTTTCCAAGTCTTGAAGTGAATGTATGTGAGCCTAGGCATGTATGTGGCTGCTTGGCAATTCTTTTGGCACTGACATCTCCAAGTTATATCCCATAAAGAGGTGTTTTATTTGCATATTTTCATCTAATTCTGGGAATGCCTGTGCCTTTGGGTATGTGAAATATGTCAGATCCAACCGCTAAAAATACAAAGCACCCCCTGAGAGGGGATTTTGGTCACCACAGACAGTGACCCACAGAGGGTATTGGGTGCTGCTCACTCTTCACATGGAGTTTGAATTCTCCTGGTTTAAAATGTGAGTTTTTAACATCTGAGAGCTTCTGTTAGTGGGTTTGGACCACGGCTTTGTTGTTTTCTTTAACCTCTGGCATCATTAGATAGAAATAATTCCTTATATTTTTATAAAGGTAAAGACTCTGAGGATGACAGCCCATGCTCAGAACATGCTGAGCCTGTGCTGGATTTCCTCTTCAAGAGCTGTGTTAATGTTCCCTGCCAATACCCAGAAACTGATTCCATTACAGCCTTTTGGTGGTGTTGTCCAACCAGCCTCATGAAATCTCCTTTATTTAACAGCCTGGTTTCTGCCTTGGAGAGCACAAACTAATGCCCTGCTTGTGCTTTATTCCAGCTGTGTCCAAAGTTCTTGCACACCAACTCCACCAGTCACACCTGGCCCTTCAGTGCAATTGCAGAACTCATAGGTAGGTGATCAATAGCTCAGTAGCTTGGAATAATTCTTGTGACAAACCCTTTTTCCTTCCTTTTAGGGGAAGACCTGGCTGAACATGCTCAGTGTTTTGCTTTTTGTTCTGGTCCTGTTACCTGCATTACCTGGGACTTGTGCATCTGTCTGTTAAGTCCTATTGATCATCTTGCCTTTGATTTTGAGCAGAAATTAATTGGACATCTCCAGTGTTCCTCTTTTCCACAGTCAGGGAATGATGAGCTGGTTCCTCAAAATAAAGGTGTGGCTTGGGCCCCCAGCCAAGCTGATTGAGCACTTTGCTGCTGCCAAAGGGAGCAACTCCTCTGCTCACTCCTTTTCCCCCCCCTTTCCTTCCCCCCCCCTTTCCCCCCCTTCCTCCAGAAAATTAACCTAACAGAAGAAAAGAGTGATTTTTCAGCTGGATGAGGCCAAAACTGTCCCAAAGGAGGGAACCAGAGCCCTGTGGCTGTGGAAAGGCCTGGCTGGTTTGGGAGTATAATCTGTTCAATCATCTCAGCTCTTTTCATACTCCAAATACTTCCAAACTTTCAGCTGTACCTCTATGTCCTCTTTTGTGATGCTGAAATACATTTTATTAAATACTTCACTGTGATGTAATTTGGACTTAAAGTTTATAGGAAGAAACCTGCCAAGGTTTCACTCACCAACCTGTGATTGCTTTTATTGGCTTGAGCTGTTTTCTGTCTCTCACCTGAACCTGCAGAGCAGGCAGTGAGGCAGATGTGCCATCACATCCCACCCTTCTTCCCCTCACAAATCCCTGGGGATGAGGGGAAAAGATGGACAAAAGTGGTGTTGGGGCAGCTGAGGTGGGCCTGGTTTTGCTGCCGGAGCCCCGGGTTCTTTTTCACTCGTGTTTGATTTTCACATCCTGTAAACAGAAAGTTGAGTCTACAGCATTTTGCAGCTCCCCTCTCGTAGGGCTGGGAGAAAGCAGGCATTGCACCAGCTGCTCTGCAGGCAGGAAACGAAACTGGAATCTTGGCTTGGTTTCATTTTCTGTTCTCGTGTGAGCTGCTCACCTCCAGCTACATCTTTGGTCCCTGTTCTGCTGTCATTGATAATCTGGGGACTTTTGTGTTGGTTTGGGTGAGGTTCCTCTGGGTTGGATGCAGCTGTGCCATCCTAACACTCTGAATGACTTTCAAATGTGTTTGCACTCAGTTGAATTTTTGTTTTCTGGTCTCCCACACTGCTTTCCTTGCCTTCAGACAATGCCTATGATCCAGATGTGAGTGCCAAACAGATCTGGATCGACAAGACCGTCATCAATGACAACATCTGCCTGACGTTCACCGATAACGGCAACGGCATGAACTCCGAGAAGCTGCACAAAATGCTCAGGTGGGAGCCTCCTTATCCCTGTCTTGTACAAATTCCACCTCTGCTTCTGGTATTGCTCAGTGCATTCCTGTTTCTCATCCGTAATTCACTGATTTTGCTGATAAATTCAGCATTTCTGAAGGTCCAGGTGAGACTCCAGAGCAGGCAGATGCTGCTAAAGCTTCCCTAACTTTGTCAGGGAACTTTTACCTCATAATTTCCTTTCATCCTTTCTCTCAGCCTTCCCTTTATGCTGTGGAAACTCTGTAGTGGCTGCTAGTGGAGATAAAGAGAATTCAAATATTTTATTTTTATTATCATCATAATCCTTATTATTATTGGAGATAAGGAGAATTCAGATATTTTATTTTTGCTTTCATCATCATTAATAATAATAATAATGATATTGATAAGAATAGTTTGGTACATGCAGTGTGTGAGATCCAAGTGCTAAAAGCACAAAGCACCCCCTGAGAGGGTCTGAGAGAGGATTTTGGTCACTGTGGGCACAGACACACTTGCTTTAATTTAAGTTAGTGAATGAGAGAAAAAGGGATATTCAGCACAAACCCACTGACATAATTGAATGTACTGCAGAAAAAATAATGTATTTTCTATATTTTAAATAATTGTCTATTTATCTTTAAATATTCTGTAGGGTTGGAACTAATTTTTCTCTTATTTCAACAGTAGCAAAAAGTTTCCTGTACTATTTCTTTCTTAGTGTAAAAAATTGCTCTGCCTGCAGATTTAAATTTGAGCAAGCTTGAATTCAAACTGTTATTTTTCTGTTAGATACCATCATAAATCCTAAATTCCATAATTTTATTTGAAGTGTGATATATTCTATATGTTTTATTTGAAGTGTAATATAGAAATGGAAAACTTGTGAATCAAACTTTTTCTAGGAAGTGGAGAGAGGAAAAAGACAGGGTTAGAGACTTTTATTAGTATTTATTGTGAAATTACAGGATAACTATCAGATTCTCATAAAAATGCTTTTTCACCTAATTCCAAACTTTCTATTCCATACTTATTTCTAAGTATGAATATTTCTGTTCCATAATTAAAAGCTGAAAGTAGATTTTCCTGAGTTTTTGCTGTGTGGTTTTAGCAGCATTGTCTGGGTGATATTAGGATTTAATTGTTCAGGAATCCCTGACCTCTAAAACAAGAGGGTTGGGTTAAATAATTTGCCAAGTCCTGCACTTGTATCTCATGAGCCCTCAAGTTTTGCAGGGATTTTTTCCCACCTCTAATGCCTTGAGAAGGCTGCCCTAGGACAGAGGCTGGACAGAGCTAAAGAATAAAGCAGGGATTTATGAAAAGGCGTCCATGGATGCACCTTGGGCAGCACAAGAGCCCAGCCAGGGCTGCACCCAAGATGAACCCAAATGGTCCCAAAATGCACGAGCGCTCCCGGGGTCTCTCCCTGGGATCAGCTCTGCTCCATGTGCACATTGCAGTTCAGTGTCCAATTCCAGCTCAGCCCCTGCACTCCCATCCTGCTTGTTTTTCTCTCTCCAGCCCACGGGGTTTGTGCTCTTGGGCTGAGATTTGGATCATTTGTCCTTGGTGCCCAGCTGGAGCAGGAATTGTTTTGTCTCCCTGCTCTGTGCACAGAGCTCACCATCCCATAATATGAAGCTCAGAAGTGCACACAGAATCTGAAAATCATCAAAACTCAAACCTGAGGCGTGACCCTCCTCACGTTTTCCCTGCTGCAGCTTTGGATTCAGCGAGAAGTCGGTGATGAACGGCCGCGTTCCCGTGGGGCTCTACGGGAACGGCTTCAAGTCGGGCTCCATGCGCCTGGGCAAGGATGCCATCGTCTTCACCAAGAACGGGGACACCATGAGCGTGGGGCTGCTGTCCCAGACTTTCCTGGAAGTCACCAAAGCAGAGCACGTCATGGTTCCCATCGTGACATTCACCAACCAACATATCCTTTCAGCATTGAAAAGTTGTGGCTACGGCCCAAATTTGGGGAACAATGTCACCCAAAGGAAGTGTTTGGCTGCTCTCGTGGATGTTTCTATCAAAATTTTCTCCTTGGAGAGGAGACAGTTTTCAAATTTATATCAAAATTTCAAATTTCTATCAATTTTTCAAATTTTATATAATTTATAACAAAAATATATTTATATGAAAATTTATATCAATTTTTCCAATTTGATATCATTTATATAAACATGAATTTATATTAAAATTTATATCAACTTTTCAAATGTATATATAGATATTTATATCAAAATTTTCACCTTGGAGGGGAGAAAATTTTCAAATTTATATCATATTTTCAAAACTGTATAAAATTTTCAAATTTGCTATCATTGATATAAAAAATTAATTTATATGAAAAATTATATTCATTTTTCAAATTTATATATAGATGTTTATATCAGTTTTCTTGGGGAGGAGAAAATTTTCAAATTTATATAAAAATTTCAAATTAGATATAATTTATATTAAAATGAAGTTATATGAAAATTTATCTCAAATTTTAAAGTTTTCAAATTTACATATGGGTATTTATATCAAAATTTTCTCCTTGGAGAGGAGTCATAAGCCAGAAAACTCTGGGAGATTCTGTAATTGGTTAAAATTTTAACTTTGTAGGAGTTCTGAGATGTGCAATGAGAAGCTGGGAAGTGAGTCCTGACATTCCCTCATTTTGTGAAATCTCTTCTCCACTCCAAGTCCCTGTCCTTAACGGTGCCCACGGCAGATCAGTGACCCAGCAGAATCCAAGAACAGCCTCAAGGCCATCCTGACCCATTCCTTGTTCTCTACTGAGGACAAATTACTGGCAGAGCTGGATGCCATCATAGGGAAAAAAGGCACCAGGATCATCATTTGGAATCTTAGAAAGTAAGATAAATCCAGTCTCTTACCTCTCATTAATTTCACATTTTCTTTCAGTGTATGCAAACATAAAAAGATTTGGGGGTTCTTTGTGTGTGGAATAACTGGAACAAGCTATGTGCAGTTTAAAAAATGGGAAGCTGGACTCAAATGTGAATTTTAGCAAATCTCTGAGGAATTCCCCTTTTTTTCCTTCTTTCCTGGCTCCACCACAACACTTCCTCTTTTATTTGCTTTATTCCACTACAATTAATACATTTTCCCATCTTCATTCTTAGAGATAAAAATGACAAACCAGAATTTGACTTTGACAAGGATAAATACGACATCAGAATTCCAGAAGACTTGGATGAAACAGGCAAAAGAGGCTACAAAAAACAGGAGAGACTGGACCAGATTGTTCCAGAAAGTGATTACTCCCTAAGAGTACGTGTTGGATCTTTAAAATTGGGTTTATTTTTGGAAGCTGGAGGGTGTAAATGTTTTAATTTTAATAGAATCTGTTTTACAGGCTTACTGCAGTATTTTGTACCTGAAGCCAACCATGCAGATCATCCTGAGAGGACAGAAGGTGAAAACACAGCTGGTTTCCAAAAGTTTGGCCTTCATCGAGAGGGATATTTACAGACCCAAATTTCTCAATGTATCCTTTAATATTTCCTTTGCAGAACTGAATTCTGTGACTGGATTTTGTTCAGTTATATTAATGAATTTTGGGTTATTTTTGGGTGTTTTTTTGTTTTGTTTTGTTTCTTTAAGTCCTACTGAAGGAATTATCTCAATATAAGAAAAGAAAGCTCTAAGACCCACTCAGAATAACTCTTATTTTTTGTGTTCCATGAGATTCACCCTGTTTTTCCTTAATATCTGCTCAAAGGCCAAAACAGTCAGAATTACTTTTGGATTTAACTGCAGGAACAAAGATCATTATGGAATAATGATGTACCACAAAAACAGACTCATCAAAGCTTATGAGAGAGTTGGCTGTCAGTTAAAGGTAAGAAATTGAGGCTTCAGAATATTTTAATGTCTTGATAAAATTTCATTCAAACACTGATTTTAAAAAAGAATATGGATGGGAAGCAAGATATTGATGTATACTTTATAAAATCACCTTTTTCACTGTGTGCAGCAGTTAAAAATTGTATGAAGTTGTTTGATTTTGAGGCTGTTTGATACAAAAATATGAATCTGATCACATCTTTCAGGACAAAAAGAGGGGTGGAGCAGAGGATTTGTGCTTTAGGGGGTTTACATCAAAGACTCTTTCTTTGGAGAGGAGTCATAAGCCAGAAAATCCTTTTTGTCCAGTGTAGATACAGTTAATAATTACCTCCAGCAAACTCTTGCAGTATTGGCATGGATTTTGTGTTGGTTTTCCTGATAAACTTTAATTCCCTGCAGGCAAACAACATGGGTGTGGGTGTTGTTGGGATTATTGAATGCAACTTCCTAAAACCAACTCACAACAAACAAGATTTTGACTACACCAATGAATACAGGTATTTTTATCTGCATTTTCTAGCCTGTATTACCATTTCCTGGGAAACACTTGATAAAGCTGCTTCTTTAAATAGGAAGAATAAAAGTTTCTGGTGTTGTGGCCAAACCTGGCTTAAATGCAAACACCTCTTTTTAGACCCTTTTTTGTCTGCCCCCTCTTTGTCTCTTTCCCTTTCCTTGTAAATATTTTTTCCACAATATCCACACCAGCCGTGTTCCTGTGGTTTTCCCTGGATATTCTTTTGTGGCTGTTCAGTAGGAGGCATTTTCCATGTGCCCAACAGTGCTTTTAATGTGGATTTTAATGTGGAAATTTTGGGCATTGATTGCAAACATTGGTGATCCTGAGCCATTCCCTGTGTGTGGCACCAACAGTCCCTTGGCAGAGGGGCAGGAACTGGGAATGCCTTTGGCAGCCACAGGGAGCAGGGAATGGTTTCCACTTGTTGGGGTTTTTTGAGCACTTCACATGAAAGGGGGATTTCCTCAATCCCTTGAGTTTGATTTGTCTGTCAGCACCCCAGGAAATCTGGAACTTTGTGCCCAACCAGTCTGTCCAAAAAATGTAATTAAGTCAATATCCAGACAGGTGGGTAGAATCAGAGGATCATTAAGGTTGGAAAAGCCCTCCAGGCCTTAAAATCCCACATCCAGTTGTTCCTGGACATAACTTTGGGGTGGAGGTATGAGTTAATCTTACAATTAAATTAAATAATGAGCCAAGTTCATCTGAAGAGTGGGATTTCACCCCAGCTGATCTTCAGCAGCAGAACAGCTTCTCCTCTCCTGGCTGCTCTGTCAGCTCCTGGTGCCATGGAGTTCCCATTCCTGCAGGGATTCCAGCAGGACCTGTGGTGTCTCCACTCTGCTCTTTGTTTATCACCCAGGAGCAGATTCCCCATGCCAGCTGCATTCCATCCAGGAAGCAGCAACTGCATTTCACCTCTGGTTTCAGTACTGTTAAATGGGAATGTAACTTCCCAGCTTTCTCTGGTTTTATCCCCAGCCACCTCCCCTGCACTTGGAATGTGGGTGGGCACAGTGACACCACACTGGAAACATCTCCTGTGAAGGTTTTTGTGCCAGGAGTGCTCCAGGTTTTCTCAAGATGTTTTTGTTTCGGGCTGGAAAGTTGTGAACCTGATGGAAAGGTGCTCTGCACTTCTTCCCTCCCCACAAAGGGAAGTGGTTCCACCCCTGCCTCGCTGCTCCTTGCCGCCCTTCTGGTGTCCCCTGGCTCAGCAGTCCCTGCTGAGGTGACCTGGATCCAAGCTCCGGGGCGCACGAGTTCACCGCACAAACATTTGTGTTGGTTCGAGGCCCGGGGCAGTGGGAGGTGCTGAGCCAGGCCAGGGAGGGCTGGGCTGGTTACTCATCCACTGGATTGCTCAGAGCTGAATTCCAGGGGCTGTCCTCACTTCCCCTCACCTGGGGGCTTTGTTGTTGTTGTTGCTCACCTCTCCCTTCTGGGTGTGCCAGCTCTGGGAGTCCCTGAGCTGCACCATGAGCCCTGAGCAGGAAACAAAACTGAGGATTACCCTGGGTTCTCACCTGCCTGAGCTGCTCCTTTTATCAGAGTGCAGACTTTATATCAAGTGTTTGCCAGCTCCTTGTTGTAAAGTTGGACATCAGCCTGAGAGTAGCCATGAACCTGCACTTGGCATGTACAGGAACAGCCAGAACCGGGGTCAGGTGCTGGATTGGTTTGCTGCTTTTTTTAATTCTCTGGTTGAGGCTGAATCCCCTCCAGGATTTGCTCTGTCCATCAGCAGCACTCTTGATTTCAGTCTTTGTGCTCTGACTTGTATTTCCAGGAATTCCATTGCTGAAAAACATGACTTCACACAATTCCTCATTTCTACAGGTTTCTAAATAAAAACTTTTTGTAAAAGAAAAAAGGAAAAGCTTTTAGAAAAGCTTTTTTCTCCACTCTTGTGCAATTAGACATATTAAAGTGGTTCATACACTTTTTCTGTCACTGGAGTTTATAAAGGTTTTTTCTGTGCTAGAGTTGGATTATTCAAGATGATCTTTAAATTCTTTTCTTTGTAGACTCACGATAGCAGCACTGGGAGAAAAGCTCAACGACTACTGGAACGAGATGAAAACCAAGAAAAACGAGGAATATCCCTTAGCTCTGCCCGTCGAGGAGATCCAGTGAGTCCCAGTGTGACAGCAGAGAACTGAGCACACTGTCACTGCTTTATCTGATAGGAGAGCCCTCTCTGGTGTGCAGATGCTGATTTCTTTTGGTTTTTCCCCAGGAAACAGCCTGACCAGACGTGGGTGCAGTGTGACGCGTGCCTCAAGTGGCGGAAGCTCCCGGACGGAATCGAGCACTTGCCGGAGAAGTGGTACTGCTCCCTCAACCCTGACCCCCAGTTCAGGTAAGGACAGAGCCCAGGGACACCTCCCAGCCCTCACAGACCACCTGGCAGCAGCAGGGGTGTTCAGCTCCTTCTGTTGTGGGATTTTTACTGTCCTCTTCCTTCCCTCAAGGAACTGTAACGTGCCAGAAGAACCAGAGGATGACGATTTAATACACCCCACGTACGAGAAAACCTACAAGAAAAAGTGAGTTCTGGAAACTTTTACAGGGCTCTCAACTCTAAAAACTACCAAGGAGAGCTGTGCAGCAGTTGGGGTGACAGCCCAGAGAGATGATGTTTCAGAGGATTTGGCATTGTGGGAATAATCAGATGTTCCATAAATAGATAAGCAATCAGTTTGGGATGTCCCAGAAGCAAACTCTGAGGGATGTTAGGAGACCTTGGCTGTGTAACTTCCAAAGGTGCACACTGAAGCATATTGAAAAGATCAATATATTTATTTAGGAATAAAAGAGTTCTTAGCTAAGGTGTATGACAAAAACTGATTTGAGTGATTGTGATGTTGCCTCACATTCCAGAAGTGGGAGTTTGGGGTTTTAAATATTTTAGTAAATAATCTAGAGGGAACTTGTTGGAAGTTAAGCTAACTTCAGACAAGCTTCCAGCTTCCTGAGGAAGTTTTCATTCAATAAACAAGAATACTTGGATTATTGTATCTAGCTGAGATGAAGAGTATTGTGTTTGCTTTTAGATCTTATATTTAGTTTTTATAATGAATGAACAGTTTGAATCTAAGCCCTTAATTTCTATTTTTTTCCTTGCTGCTGTGCAGGGACAGGGAAAAACTGAAGAGGAGACTGGAGTACAGCCACCAGGTAACTCCTGAGGCTGGCAGGAGCCTGCCCTGGGTGCCAGTGTCTGCTTCAACATCCACTTGTACTCTGGTGGCTCTGCAGGATTTGCTCACCATGAGGAACCCCAAAATCCCCTTTCTTTGCAGCCCAGTGATGGAAAATCCACCATTTCTTTCTCCTTAGGAAGGAGTTTGAGAGGGACAAAGGTCTCCTGCCAAAACTAGAGGAGGTGGCAGTCGCTGGTGGCTGTTTTTATGGCAGGACACCCCATTCTTGAAAGGGGACTTGTTGGAGAGATGTGGTGAGGATATAAAAGTAAAGATGCTCTTAGAAGTGGGGATCTCAGTGGGGATAGACAGAGGTGGAACAGCTACACTTGTGCAAGGAGACACTCCAATTCAGATTAAACCCAGATGCAGATCAAGGTGGTTGGTGGGAATGTCTGGACTCTAACTCAGAATCAAATTGTCTGAGTGGGATTTCATTTCAGTTGCATTCAGAGTCAGTTTCTGACCTAAGATCACTTCATTTCTGCAGAAGACATGCTGTATGTGCTGTTTTAACTTATTTATTTAATTTTACTATTTCTCTGCCATTACATCTCTCAGTACAAAAGGAATTTCTAAAAGTAAAATAATTGCTCATTTTAGGCCAACTGAGTGAACCCTGAGCAGCTTTCCCAGGGATGCCTGTCCTGGAGTTTTTGTCTGATGGGCAAACTCCAGACAGAGACAGAGCTTGGGAAAAGCTCTTGCCTGGGATTCTGCAGAGCACTTTAAAAGTGGGATTTGCAGTAGTCTAGTCAGCCTTTCTCATCCCAAAATCCTGAGCCTGGGTTCAAGGAGGTACTTAGCTATGACCATGTCAGAATTTTAGGTGTTGGTATATAAAGAACTGCTTAAATCTCTCCTGAAGAATCTACTAATATCTGTTTATTTCCATTCTTAACTTGCATTGTCTTATAGATCAATAATGAAATATTGTTAAAAACATCTGTTTCTTCAAGTAAAGACTTCAAAACATTCTCATCTCCGAATGCAAAGGAAGCTCTTCCAAGGTTACTTATACCAAAATCATCAGATGCTTCTGTTAGAAGATCTCTGCCTATTTTAATTAAAGTGTCTCCCCCTCATCTGGATGCTGATAGCAGGTGAGTGGACCTGTACAAAGGAGATTCCTGTTTATTTCTAAAATTAATAACTTAATGAAAATGATGGTGTTGGGGGCAGCTTCAGCTGCTGAAATTCCTGTGGGAATTCTGGGAGCATTGGAGGCTCCAGGAGACTTTGTCAAGTACAAAAGTGAATGCAAGAAAATGACAAAGGAGCATTTTTAGTGATTGGTCTGCTCAGGAACAGAATTTGTGTTCTCCTCACTCCACAGGCCATTTTCCTGAAACTGTGGGGATGTTCCTGGGAATACTGGGTCTGTTTCAGAATAATGGGGGAGTGTGTGGATGGCAGGCACTTGTTTTTACAGGAATTTATTCCTGCAGGCAAATTTCTGGAGTGGTAATTTTTGAACAGTGCTCAGAGAAACACAGCATGTTGTTGGAAACAAATGATTTTGGCTGCATTTAAGCAAATCAAGTGATTATTTTAATATTTTCCTCCTCAGTCTCAAAAGGAGGACGCAGAGCTGTGCGACACCCGTGGCCCTAAAGACACCTCGGCTCAGTGACCAAACAGTCAACAACCACGAGGAGGAGGATGATGATGAAGATGTCATCATTTTGGAGGAGAGCAGCACTCCAAAGCCTTCAGCAGATCCTGATGTTCCTGTGGTAAAAACAGAATGTATCAATTTGGATCAGGAGGAGAAGCAGAAGGAAAGCTCTCCCGTGGGGGAACCTTGCAGTGCAACCACTTCAGAGGCAAGAAGTGAACAGCTGAGCTCAGCAACACAGACAGAGCTCCCGAAGCTGGTGGTGAAAAAGGAGGAGGTGGAAGACATCCCAGTCCACATTCCTGGGGCAGGGATGGAAAAGGAACAGCACAAGGTCAATGGTGTTCCTGAGACATCTGTAGAGATGGAAAATGAACTGAAAAATCAGCTGCAATCATTGAACAGAGAAAAAGAAATGTACCAAAGCAAATGTGAAGCGTTAACCAAACAAGTGGAAACACTGGAACAGCAGCTTTTGGAGATGAATAATAAATGTGTAAAAAAGGAGATGTGCCATCAGGCAACAGAGACAATTCCCTCCTGTGGAGAAGGGAATGCTGATGGGAGGAGCTTGGCAGAGGTGACAGCTCTCTATGAGCAGGCCCTGGGGGAGATAGCAACGCTCAAGGAGCAGTGCAGCACCCTGCAGAACCTAAAGACTGAGTGCAGCAAATGTGCTGATGGAGAGAGCAAGAGTGAGGTGGATGAGATGGCAGTGCAGCTGGATGATGTTTTCAGGCAGCTGGACAAGTGCACCACTGAGAGAGACGGATACAAAAGCCAGGTACATCTGCTAAAACACTCCTGACACTTCAATTATCTCTGTTTTTTACTCCCTGTTTCACAGCATTTCTACTACACAACGTTTTGAATAGTTTTTACAGCTTTATTTTTCTTTTGATTGGCAGATTGAAGTCCTAGAAGTGGAGAAGAATCAAATGGCCTGTCAGTGTGAGGAGCTCAAGGCAGAGCTGGCTCAGTTAAAAGCTTCAATCCCACAGGCTGTAGCACGTGCAAATGATTCTACCACCAGTAATGTAGAAGACTCTGTAAATTTTTCTGATGGAGAAAGGTATCAGTTTTGTTCTTTCTAGATGTTATTTCAAGGTTTTTGCTTGTTGGTTGTATTTCAAATGTTTTGATGAAGGTTATGTGTGATAATTGTATAATAAAATGTGATGCTTGCAATTCTTTTCTACTGCCTTTTGTGACTCCTAACTAATGTTGTTGTTTTTTCTTTTTTATCAAGTGATGCTTGTGATTTATTTGTGTGAGCAGGATGGGCCACAACAGAATAGCAAACGGATACTTCTGAAAATATCCAAAATGTTGTATAACTTCTAAGCACAACTTGCAAACCAAGGAGAGAAAAGGGAGGCAGGAAAGAGGAGGATGATCATTATTTTCTGCTGTGTAATGAACTTCACTTCAGTCTGTTTTTCTCTCTTGAATCAACTGAAGAGTCTGGATTTGGAACTTTCCTGTAGGAACTCCTTGCTGCAGGCAGATCCTGTGGAATCAGGGTCCAGGGTGTATCTTGGAATTAAACAAGGGTTGAAACTTCCAGCTGGAGAGCTTGGAGCTCTTGGGAGGTGGAAATAGCACACACAGAAAACCCAGAGCAGGTGGAAGCAGAGTGAGCTGAGGTCCTTGCCAGGGGAGAATCCAAGGGGGGAAGCATCAGCTGTGATAAAGGTGAGTCAGTTAAGGGATCAATTCAGCAAATGGATCCCTGGGACCAGACGAGAGGTATTTCAGAGGGAGCTGAGGGCCTTGTAGTATCTCCAGAAATTAACATTCCTGGAAAAAGGCAGTTGTTATGCCCATATTTAGGACAGCCACAGCTCCATCCTGGCACTGCAGCCTCAATCCCAGGGAAAACATGGAATAAATCTACCTGGAAGCCATCTGCAGCCCCATGTGAGTCAAAAAGGGAGTAAGGATAACTAGCATGGGGTGACTGAGGGCAAACTGGGGATCAACAGCAAGGCCAAGAATGGAAAAGGCTTTTGCACCTCAAGTCCTGTGTCCAGTTCTGTGCCACTTTAAAAGGACATTGAGGGGCTGGAGCATGGCCAGGGGAGGGGCTGGAAAACACATCCTGGGAGAAGCAGCTGAGGGAGCTGGGAAGGGGCTGAGCCTGGAGCAAAGGAGGCTCAGGGGGGACCTTGTGGCTCTGCACAACTCCCTGCCAGGAGGGGCAGTGAGGAGGGTCAGGCTCTGCTGCTGTGTCCCAAGGGAAAGGAGGAGAGGAAATGGCCTCAAATGGCACCAGGGCAGGCTCAGGTTGGAGATTGGCACAGAAAATTTCCCTGGCAGAGTGGTCAGGCCTTGGGCTGAGCTGCCCAGGGAGGTTTGGAGCCACTGTCTGTGGGAATGTTCAGGAGGAGTCTGGATGTGGCCCTGGGGATGTCATTTTGGGCTGACTGTTGGACTGGATAATCTCAAAGTTCTCTTCCAGCCCTGGGGCTTGTGGGATTCATGGCCTGAGTGACAGAACCAAACGAACTCAATAAATTTCTGATGCCATCAAATTGGAGGGAGCTCAGGAGGGCAGAGCTGCTGCTGAGGGACTTTGACAAATTGGACAAATGAGCTGGAGAAAAGCCCACAGGGAATTCACAGGGGCACCTGTGAATTCATGCAGGAGCAGAAGCTGCAGGCAGCTCCTGGGAAAGCAGCGGGAGGAAGTGCCCGTGGTGCTGGGTGTGGCAGGGCAGCGGGAGCCGGCAGTGCACTCTGCTGGTGGCACCGCCCAGCTCCGGCTGGGCTGGGCTGGGCAAGTGACTCCTCCCTGGTGCTGGGCTTTGGGAGTGCTGGATCCACCCTGGCAGAGTGGAGAAAAACCTGGATAATTTCCAGAGACCCCTTTCAGTCTTAAAAAAGAAATTGACCCACATAAAAAATTATCTGTCAGCATTTAATTTTATTTTTCCTTATAGCTCTGATGTGTGTTTATTAAAAGAATTAGCAAATTAATGCAGGACTTGGAAGTAACTTCCCCCACAAGTTGATGGAGATATGGCAGCATTGGGAGAACTGGATAAAGGATCTGAGAGTAGAAGGAAATGGGCCACAGAAGGGATGGCAAAACAGTTTGATCAGGAAGAGGACACAGCAAGGACATCCAGGAAAGAAACCAAAAAAAGGGAGGCACAGACTTTTCCCTGGGCTATAACTCTTACTTCCTATTTATATTTTAAAGCCTTTGGGCAAACTCCTCTTTCTTGCCTTCTCCTCTCTTTTTCTCTCCTTTTGTTCCCGTGGGTTGTGGTAGTTTGGGTTTCTAAATGGATAAAAATACCAGGGCTTAATACTGCTTTGAGAAATACAGGTGGTGTGGGGGAAAGGATTGCACCAATGCTTATTCTGAAATATTTCTGACAGGAATTCCGTTTAGTATTTGTTTGAAACTGAGGGAATATCCCTCTTCAAGCTGAAAACTGAAGAGAAGCTTGGAAAAACTGATAGATTTAGGAATGATCTTGATGCAGCTTTACCTGCATCCATTTTTTTGTTGGTTTATGGGAGTCATGGAGCATCTCCGGTGTGGATTATGAGTCCAGCTTTGTTAGGTGAGCTCTGAACACAGAATTCCATCTCCAGCTAATCCTGTGCTGTTCTCTCCCCAGCCTGAAGCTCCGCTCTCTCCGAGTGAACGTGGGACAGCTCCTGGCCACCATCATGCCCGACCTGGACCTGCAGCAAGTGAATTATGACATCGATGTGGTGGATGAAATCTTAGGGCAGGTGGTAGAACAAATGCATGAAATCAGCAGTACTTAAAATCTCAGTGTTTTAGCAGAGTTTTATTGCTCTTCCATTATAACCTGTAGGTTCCAGACTGTAAATGGGGCTGCTTCACTTTATATATTTGACACAGGTGGTTCTCTCAGTGTAAATATTCCACATTTAGCTGTTCACTTCCTCCTCAAGGAACACTGTCAATACTGACCCACCCTGATGTACTTAATTAAGGATTTTGCTTTGGAAATGTATTTGTAATTAAATTTGCAGATATTTTTACTATTAGGAATCTTAATACTTTTCTACAGACACCTTTTGGTTGACTTTGGATCTTATATAAACATTAATACCTGTGAGTATTTCCTCTTCTAAAGTAGTGGAATATCTTAGAAATGCAAAAAAAAAAAAAGAAAAAAACTTCCTTGATTTCCTTCCCAGAGTAGTTGTATCCCACAGTGTTGTTCCATTGCTCCCAGCAGTGTTCTGTGTTGCATTCATGGGATAGAAATGTAAGTAGTAGGTGAGAATTTGGGCCATACTTGGGGAATATTTGTGTGGTACTACCAAAATAAGTGTTCTTAAGGGTTATATCCTGAAAACTGGGAATGGACCAATTGGATGGAAGAACTTGGAAAAGGAGGGATGTTTCTTTATCTGTGGTGTAAACAGGATGAAAATGTTCAGCTTCAACAGCTTTAGACAGTTTTTATTAAAGGCAGGAAGAGCGAATTCCTCTTTTTCACATCTCCCCTTTTAGAGTTGTGTGCTCTAAATCTTCCCATTTTTCCATGGTCATGGGAAAACCTGGAAGCAATGGTACCAAGAGAATTTCCCAGCCAGCTGCAGGGATTTCTTTCCAAGTCATTGGGAATGACAAACTGGGTGGCAAAGACAGCACATCCATTTTTTCCTCTGTGGTGGGATTGGTCACTCAAAGAGTGATGCAGAAAAATTATTCTTGCTTTGAGATACAAAAAATAAATTTAAAAAATAATTTAATTAGTATTCAATATGTTAATTCTTAGGAAGTTGTTGGTTTGTTTTTGTTTTTTTGGTTTTTTTTGTTTTTTTTAATAAAGCCAATATTGTTGGCTTTTGCACTGCTACTGTCCTGAGTTAATCCCTTGGTGTCCCTTTGAGTCGTAGTTCAGTGGAATTCTTTCCATGGACAGTATTTCAGTGGAAGATCTCTCTCTATGCCAATAATGGGAATGCACTACTGTTGTACTTTATAAAAGAGAAATTGAATGTTTGATTTGGGAAGAGGTGGCTGTAATATAACTACGTATGACTTTTGCAAAGTTTATATTTCCCATTTCTTGGTGTGTAGCTTTTCCATTTCTTAATCATTATTTATTATGTTTCATCAGACTGTAGCTGAATTTCTTGTAGACAACTGGCAAAATAGAGCACATGTCTATATTAAAAATGGCAAATTTACAATGTACATTTACACTTTGGACAACGGTGGACTTATGGAAATGGTTTCTATTTACTTGTTAAAATGTATTTTTTGTAAAAAATAAAAATATATAAATCGGAGTTTGCATTTGTTTGTTTGTTTATTTTTCTTGTGTTTGTTTCTCAATAAAGCCTGTGCAGGATGGCTGAAGTGTTGGGTGTTAGAAGAAAGCCTGGCTCAGTCTGGTGTTGGACTGGGCCACCAGTATGGAAATGGGATGGGAATGTCCTGGATATGGAAAAAGCAGCACTGGTGTAATCCAGAGGGTTTTAATGGAATAGAGCTGAATTTCAGGAAGTTCTGCTGTTGATTCATGGATGAGCTTCCTTGCCTTCAGAAATTCACTGATCACGTGGACTTATGCCATCCTAAGGCAGTTCTACTGCTGTGGAACTCCTCAGGACTTTTGTAAAAATAATTTTTAAATCCCCTATTCCATACACATCTTTCTCCCTCAGCTGGAAAGAGATGGAGAAGGAAGGGGTTGGTTTGGGGTTCCCTGGGATGTGGGGACTGGGGTTAAGGTTGATGGAGATGGGTGAGGAGGGGACTGGATGTGTCAGGACTTAATTCAATAAAGGGTCTCCAACACTGCCAAAGGAGGGAGTTCCCTCAGGATAACTCACCTAAGAGAGGAAGGGGAAAGGTTTGGAATGAGCACAGACAGGAGAAGATTCCAGTGTTCAGACAGTGGGAATAGTGCAGATGCAAGGGGAGGTGCAAGGGAAGTGCAAATGCACCAGCAAGGTGCCAGGCTTGGTGAGGCAGATCTGGGTGAGCTGTTTGGGCAAAAATTCCCACCATGGCAAACTGGGGGAAAAGGAAGCAACTGCTTTCACACAGGCCATGTCAAGTTGTGAAGGGATGGGCAGCCAGAGCCAGGCCTCAACCCTCTGTGGAGACAGGCTGCCACCTCTGCCATGGCTGCCCTGCCCAGGGATCTCGAAGGACTCAGAGCTTGGGAGCACAAGGGAATGGGGCCACAGCCCCACAGCCCATCCTGGGCTTCTCCTGCAGCCCAACACCCCTGGCTCAGAGTGTTACTGTCATTGTCCCCCACGAGGGTGGCACAGGAGGGCCCAGCCCCTGTGTCCCTGAGCAGGGCAGCTCCTGCCATGGAGCACCGGCACAGCACCAGGCTGGGAAGGATCTGAGCATTGTGCTGGGCCCTGGCACAATGTGGAGCCAAAGTAGCCCTTGGGCTGTCCCAAGGAGAAGACTCCAGAATTTAAGGGTTGTCCAGAGAGCAGGGGGACAATGACAGTGAGCTGTGCCATAGGTATGACAACAAAGAGTGCTCCCATGGGAATAGAAAGGCTGAGGGATTTGGGATTGTTCAGCCTGGAGAAGAGAAGCTTTGGGGTGACCTCATTGTGGCCTTCCAGGACCTGAAGAGAGGTGACAAGAAAGATAGAGACAGTTTTCAAAGGATGGAGTAACAGGACAAGGGGGAATCACTTCAAACTAAGAGAAACAGTTTAGATTGAATGTTAGGATGAAATTGTTCCCTGGCAGGGTGGGCAGGGATGGAATTCCCAGAGAAACTGTGGCGGCCCCTGGATCCCTGGCAGTGCCCAAGGCCAGGATGAGCACTGGGGTTTGGAGCAGCTTGGCACAGTGGAAGGTGTCCCTGCCATGGCAGGGGTGGCACTGGATGGGCTTTAAGGTCCCTTCCAACCCAAACCATTCCATGATTCTGTGATGTAGAATTAATCTTTGTCCTCTGCTGCTCCCTCCCGTGCTGTGTGAGGCCCTGTGGGGTCTGGGGAGCTCTAAGAGCCCCATTTTGGACTTCAACCTCCCCTGCCCAGAGGCTCTTCTTCCCCTGGGCAAGTAGTGAAAGCAAAAACCGTTTTCTCACAATGTAATTCGTCATTATCATGATTATATTTCTCAGGCAAAAGGTTTGCATTTGAAACAGGGAAGCTTGGAGACACGTTACCCATTAGGACTTTTATATATTTACACCGATCAAGCACAGCAATGCCTGTGAAATTAAAAGAAAAACCAAAAAACCAAACAACACTCTCTTGAGGAGTTTGAGCAAGCATTGGGCTTTTTTCATTTTAGGTTTATTCTGTCGTTTGTGCGGTTTCTTTTCCCCCCCGGCAGCCCCTGAGGGCTCCGGAGGCGGCGGGCGGGGCGGGCGCGCGCATGCGCGGGGCGGGCGAAGGAGGGAGCGCGCGGGAGCCGCGGGCGGGCCGCAGGTGAGGGGAGGGGGGGAGGATCCGAGCTGGGGGAGCCGCGCCGGGATTTGGGGTTTTGGGGCCCTGGGGAGTAGGATTGTGGGTTCTTACGGTCTGGAGAGTGGGAATGGGGATCCCCGGCGCTCCGGGAGCGTCCAGCGGCGCTTCTGCCCTTCCCCTACCCGCGCCGGGCCGCCCGTGCTCGCTCCTTGTTTGGATTCCGGGCAGGGTTGTTACTCCAAAAAAGTTTTTCTCTCAAGTCTTAAACCGATGCACAGGGCTTGATACTGTCCTCTTGAAATCCCCAAAGAGGAACTTTAGCCATAATAATCGCAACTTTTAGAAACAGCCTTCCTCAAAGCATCCTGTCAATGACTGCAGTGCAATTCCAGGCTCTGCCAGCGGTGCCTGAGAAATGCGCGCAAAGTTTGGCCGCCAGAGCCATAAGGAACAAGAACTGAAGTGGGGTTTGTTCTGTTCTCTCCAGTAAACATGAAGGTCATCACCTGTGAAATAGTGTGGCATAATAAGGAGCCGGTTTATAGCTTGGACTTCCAGCATGGAGCGGATGGGAGGATCAATCGCCTGGCCTCGGCTGGGGTGGACACAGCCGTGAGGGTGAGCTGAACCTGGGTCTGGACATGTGCAGGGTGTGGGGGGTTGCTATCCAAAATATCGGCTTGGTGTCATTATCCAAAATATTGGGTTATTGGCAGGTACATAGTTTGAGGAAAGAGTGTAAGATTGTACATAGAATTATAGGGTGCTTTGGGTTGGAAGGGGACTTTAAGCTCATCAACTGCCACCCCTGCAATGGCAGGGACACCTTCCACTGTGCCAGGCTGCTCCAAGCCCCAGTGTCCAGCCTGGCCTTGGGCATTTCCTGGGGCAGCCACAGTTTCTCTGGGAATTCTATCCCAGCCTCTCCCCACCCTGACAGGGAACAATTTCACCCTAATATTCAATCTAAACCTACTCCCCTAGTTTGAAGCCACTCCCCCTTGTCATTACATACTCTTGTAAATAGTCTCTGTAGTAGTTTATTGCAGTTGTCTCAGATAAAACTTTTTCCTTCCTCACTTGGAAAGTGACCTCTTCTTCCCTGATGATGCATATGTTTCAGGGCTTTTTTATACATATTTTAGGGCTAGAAAAATGTCAATTTTCTTTGACATAAAATATGCTCCCTGATAGGAGGGTGGAGTGAGGTGGGGTCAGACTCTTCTGCCATGTCCCAATGATTCGTGGTTACCAGAAAATGATGCATTGTGCAGGCTGCCCTAGAGCAGAGGCTGGACAGAGCTAAAGAATAAAGCAGGGATTTATGAAAAGGCCTCCATGGATGCACCTTGGGCAGCACAAGAGCCCAGCCAGGGCTACACCCAAGATGAACCCAAATGGTCCCAAAATGCACGAGCACTCACGGGGTCTCTCCCTGGGATCAGCTCTGCTCCATGGGCACATTGCAGTTCAGTGTCCAATTCCAGCTCAGCCCCTGCCCTCCCATCCTGCTTGTTTTTCTCTCTCCAGCCCACGGGGTTTGTGCTCCTGGGCTGAGATTTGGATCATTTGTCCTTGGTGCCCAGCTGGAGCAGGAATTGTTTTGTCTCCCTGCTCTGTGCAGAGAGCTCACCATCCCATAATATGAAGCTCAGTCCCACACACTGAAGCAGCAGAGAATGTGAAAAATAGAAAAGCTCAAACCTGAGGTATTGCAAAGGGAAGGGAGGAGAGGAAATGGCCTCAAATGGCACCAGGGCAGGCTCAGGTTGGAGACTGGCACAGGAAATTTCCCTGGCAGAGTGGTCAGGCCTTGGGCTGAGCTGCCCAGGGAGGTTTGGCGTCACTGTCTGTGGGAGTGCTCAGGAGGAGTCTGGATGTGGCCTTGGGGACAGGGTTTGGGGTGATGCTGGAGGTCCCTTCCCACCTTGATGGTCCTGTGACGTCCCATCTTGCCCTGGAAAGCTGTAACACTCTCCTAACTAGATCTGGAAAGTGGAGAAGGGCCCGGATGGAAAAGCCATCGTGGAGTTCCTGTCCAACCTGGCGCGCCACACCAAGGCCGTGAACGTCGTGCGCTTCTCTCCCAGCGGGGACATCCTGGCCTCAGGAGGGGATGGTGAGAGCTGCTTCTCCTCTATCTCATCCAGCATCATTTGGAAGTTAAACTAGTTGAAATCCACCTGAATGAACAAAAGGGAGTGGGAAATAAAGGAGCTTGCTCTGGTTTCTTCTACAGATGCTGTCATTTTGCTGTGGAAGCTGAATGACAGCAAAGAGTTGGAGCCGTTGGTTTTTCAGGATGAAGATGAAGCTCAGCTCAACAAGGAGAACTGGGCAGTCATTAAAACTTTGAGGTAATTTATTATTTGGTCAGTTTGGTTTTCTTTTCAGTGTTTTTGTTTTCTCAGTGGATTTTAACATGTGGTACACTTTTCAGTTTGTGTAGAATTCCAGCACTGTGTATAATTCATTTGCTCTGATATTAATACTTTTACTCCCTGTTAATGAGACTCAGAAAAAGGAGGGAGAGGGACATATTAAATAATTAGGGGCTGACAGGACAAGGGGCAGTGGTTTTAAGCTGAAGGAGCAGTTCCTGGCAGCTGCTGAGGTTGATGTGAGAAGAGTTGCAGAAGTGCTTGAAGCACCAGCAGGAGTTTTTATTTGCCTCTTGATTTTTCTTTTAACCTAAAAATTCATAAAACTCATATTCACATGTAGCTTTTAATTTTCAAATTAATAATTGGTTTCTCCTGCCTTCTAGGGGCCACTTGGAAGATGTGTATGATATTTGTTGGACCTCAGATGGAAATTACATGGCGTCTGCTTCTGTGGATAACACAGCAATCATGTGGGATGTCAATAAAGGTAAATGCTGCAGTTATCCCTTGGAATTCCAGATCTGCTGGAAGTCCTTCTTGGCATTTCCTCCCAAAAAAATGGGAAACATCTTTTTTTGTGATTGTTTTTCTGTGTGATTTTGTGGGTGTGTGAGGCCCCTCTATAAATAGATACCAAATATTCTCAGGCCAACAGAATTCATACCTGAGGACTCTGTTCACCTTGGGGTGTTTAGGAAATAACTTTATGTATTTTTTACCCCCCAAAACTCTTGCACAAACTTCTTCTATATTCCTTACTCCACTTTTTGGTGTTGTGCAGCATGGCCTGAGCTCTGTTTGTGTCTTTCCTTTTGAAAAGCTATTTATTTTCTTTGAAACTTGTCAGCTTCTGGTATTTCTTTGCAAGAAAGCAACACTTAAATAATAGAAACAATCCCACCTGGGCCAGTATTCAACAAAGTATTTCTAAAACTCTCTGTAACTTTGTCTCATCAATGTTTTGGCTCTGAGACCTTCCCTTATGGAACATCAGTGGAGTCAGAGAACTCCTGCCTTTGCTAATATTAATCTAATATTAGTTCTAGTTAATTATTAAGTTTGTAGTGAACAAACCCTAAACTGGCACTTTAAAAGCAACTATTGCTGATATTCTTATCAGCCACCATCCAGTGGACACTTGTGTGTTTAAAAAATTATTTCCCTACGTTTTGAAGCATTTTTTTGTCTTGTTTTATATCTGAAATATTTGGAAACACACTGGAATTTATGATCTGAAAGCTGTTTGTAATTTCAGGACAGAAAGTTTCAATATTTAATGAGCACAAGAGTTATGTCCAAGGAGTAACCTGGGATCCTCTAGGCCAGTATATTGCAACCCTGAGTTGTGACAGGTGAGTGTTTTTCCTAAATACTCCTTTTTCCAGGAGGATGAATTAAAAGGAAGTATGCCAGATAAACATGAGGTTTTGTTTTATTCACTTCTTTTGTGTAAGCAGGTTCATGTGAAAGTAAAGTGATATTTTAGTTATTTTTTTTTGGCTTGTGCTCAAGATTCCTGCAGTCTCTCTTAGCAGCAAATAAACTTTTGTAGGAGTCTTCCTTTAGGAATTAAGTTTTGTTATTGAACATTATTAGTAGTCTTAAGAGAGTGCTGCATGGCTGTGTTAATGAGCTGATAAATTCATCCTTGAGGATGGAGCAGTCTGGGACAGTGGAAAGTCCCTGTTCAAGGCAGGGGTGGAATTAAATGATCCTTAAGGTCCCTTCCAGCCCAGAGCATTCCATGATGATACAACTGATGGAGAAGTAGTTAATTGTTTTTAAGATGAGTTCCCACTTTTGAGGAACCTACAGTGCAGGTGAGAACAGCCTGGCCCACCTAATTTCCTTATTCCTCCAAAATCCAAGTGCTGGGACTTCCCAAAATTTGTGGAGTCCAGGAATTGTGAGGTGTTCATTGGTTCTTTGGTCATTAAAGCACATCCCTCTGGTGGTGTCTCATGAGGAGAATTTTAATGGTTAATTGGTGGTCCAGATTTACATTTTGAGGTGCTGACTGAGAAGGGAGATCCTGGGGCATTTTTGGGAAACTTGGGGTGAAAGGAAGCTGTTCATAGGAAAGGCTGGGAGAGCTGGGATTGTTCACCTGCCTTTCCTGTTATCCAGCCTGTATTTCCCTTGGTGCAGCTGGAGGCTGTGTGCTCTGGATGTGTCAGTGCTGCTGGAGACAGAGCCCAGCCCAGCTGAGCACAGGCACCTTTCAGGAGCTGTGCAGAGTGAGGAGGGCACCCCTGAGTCTCCTTTTCTCCAGGCTGAGCACCCCCAGCTCCCTCAGGGGTTCCTCTTAGGACTGGAGGGATAGGACACAGGGAATGGCTTTTTCATGTCCTTCCCAACCCAAAGCATTCTGTGATTCCCTGCTGGCTGATTCTGCTCTCCCATGCAGGGTCCTGCGAGTTTACAGCACCCAAACCAAGCGAGTGGCCTTCAATGTCACCAAGATGCCATCGGGGTCGGGAGCTGAAGGAGAGGTACCTGGTTCTGCTGGGGCTGCAAACTCTGCTGGGGGCTGTTTTATCTGAACTTCCTGTCCCATGAAACCAAAGGATCAAATATTTTCCATTCAAACAATTCCTATATTGTAGAATCATCAAGGTTGGAAGAGACCTTCACACTCATCCACTCCCAGCATCGTCGCCCTGAAACCACATCCCCAAAATTTCTTGCTGATGAAAGCAGTAACACAATCCTTTAGTTGTATAAGTTAAAAATAGTGTGGAGAAAGCAGTTCTTAATAGGAAAAACTTCAAACATACCTGGCAGTATCTGGGAGTTTATTAATGGATGTGAGTAATAATAGTTATAATGTTTTAAAGTTAGTAGTAATAATATTTTAAAGTTAACAGCCTGGAATTTTCAAGAAGATCATTAGATTTGGAAGAAAAATATGAATTAGGGATAATTTAGGAAATTCTAACCCTAAGAGGGAAAACAAAGAACTTTTTTTTTACTCCCAAACAGCTTTAAGTGATAGTAAAATAACACCTCCAGGCTGGCTGTAACTTTCTTAATTCCTTCTATTCATTCCTTTTCTTTTTGGGGGAAAACATTGGTAAGAGTTTTATAGACACTGAAGAACAGGCCTGAGAGCAGGCACTTTGCCATGAGAGAAGTTCTCTTTCAACCTCTAATCCTGGGGTTAGAATGAGATGCCTGGGCAACACTGGGTGTTAAACAATGTTGTTCTCCAGGTTATGGCTATTTTTTGATGGCTGGTTTAAGGTGACAGCTCTGGGAGTGTTTTGCTTTGCAGCTCAAGAGGGATCAAGGATTATTTTTCTTAGCTGTGAAGAATTTTTAGAAAGCTTGAGGGAGCCGTGGCTTTTAAGAGGTTTTCCTTGGAAAGTTCCATCAGGCTGCATGTTTTGTGTCCCAGGGATTGCAGCTGGACATTCCTGGCCTTCTCCACAATCCTGCTTTCTGTGTTGCAGGTGAGGAGCTTTCGGATGTTTCACGATGACAGCATGAAGTCGTTCTTCCGCAGGCTCAGCTTCACTCCTGATGGCTCCTATCTGCTCACTCCAGGTGTGGGGACATCTCCTGGGACTTGGGTTGTGTCACTGAAATTGGAAAACATTCCCAAAGTCATGGAATCCCAGCTGTCACCCATCCCCACCTTGTCGCCAGAGCATTGAGTGCCACCTCCAGGCCTTCCTTGGGCACCTCCAGGGATGGGCACTCCAGACCTCCCTGGGCAGCTCCTGCCAAGGCCTGAGCACCCTTTCTAGGAAGAAATCTCCCAATATCCACCCTGAGCCTGCCCTGGCCCAGCCTGAGGCCGTTCTCTCTCCTCCTGTCCCTGTTCCCTGGAGCACAGCCCGACCCCCCCCGGCTGTCCCCTCCTGGCAGGGACTTGTGCAGAGCCACAAGGGCCCCCTGAGCCTCCTTTGCTCCAGGCTCAGCCCCTTTCCCAGCTCCCTCAATCTATTATATCCTAATTGGAATGTTCCTTAATATTTCCTGCATCTCAGGGATGCTGATTTATCCTAATTAAGGCATTCCTCATTCTCCCTATTGAAGAAAATAAAAACTCCACAATATTCTCCATTAGCAATCTACAACATCAACTTTCTCCTGTGATAAAAGTGGTATTTATGGTATTTTGCTGAATAAATTGCAACACCAGAAGTCTTAAGACAGAAATGTAGGATAATGAATGGAGTGTTTTTGACTCTGTCCTTCTCTCAGATCATTCTGCATTCAGAGTAAAAACAGCCCAGCAAGGAGGGATCAGTGTGTGCCTGTCCAAACCCTGCTTTTATTGATGTCTGGCAACATCAAAAAGCAGCTTTGAAGAGGGAAGTGTATAAGGGAAACAAAACCAGCACTAAATAAATATTTGGGATGCCTTTTTAAGTTATATTCAGCTTTTGCCCAACTGACAAGCCTAATTCCTGGGAATTAGAATATTTCTAGAGAAGCCTAATTCCCAGGAACTGGAATGTTTGTGGACACAAGGTGTGTGCTCAGGAGCTCTCTGAGGCGATGAGTAATGTTGGAACCTTTGTTTTTGCAGCTGGCTGTGTGGAATCAGGAGAGAACGTTACAAACACCACCTATGTTTTCTCCAGAAACAATCTGAAAAGGTAGGGGTTTAGCGAGATAAAAATCTGTTTGGATTTAAAAATAAACAATTCAAGTAGTGCAAATGTGTTTTCTGAACTCCTGGCTCTCTCTGAAGGCCCGTGGGTCACCTGCCCTGTCCTGGCAAGGGCACTCTGGCTGTTCGCTGCTGTCCTGTTTACTTTGAGCTGAGAGGAGCTCCTGCTAAAGGTATGGTGTCTTGGTTGGAAAAGCCAGGTGTCTGCTAAGGAAGGCAGGAGCCTCTCCTGAAATGGAAAATGTAAACCCCCTCCCTCTGAATTGTTATAGTTTTGAAATTAAGATACTTTCAGGCAAAGATATGGGAGTAGGAATAACAGTTCTTTATTAGGAAAACTAAAAACACAAATGCAATTGTACAAAGAAAACAACCCACTGCCAGAGTCAGAGCAGGCCCTGTCCCCCTGTGTGTCAGGGTGGTGGCACAGTCCCATCCCATGGGGGCTCAGCCCTCCTGCAGTGCCAGTTGTGGTTCTGCTGGAGCAGGGATCCTGCACAAGGCTGCAGTTTTCCTCTGGAGCTCCAGGGCTGCTGGAGATGGGCCTGCTCTTCCTCTGGGAATGCAGGGCAGGAGAAAGCTGCTCCTCTGGGAATGCAGTGGGCAAAGGCTGCTGTGCTGCTCCAGGCTCAGATTGTATCCAGGTAGGAATGCTTGGCTCCTGCCCTGGGCGGAGCATCTCTCCATGGGATGATGGAATTTGATCAGCCCTGCAGGGACACTCCCTGGCCATGGAGAGCAGAGATCTCCTGGAGGGAGGATTGGCTGTGGAGAGATAAAGAAAAAACTGCCCAAAGAACAGCAGAGAACTGCCCCAGGTCTGACAGATAGAATACAGACCCCCATTTCCAACCTAAGACATATGGGAAGCTTCAGGGAGTGGGAACTCCCAGCAAATCTGGGAAAAGATGGGGCTGGTCATTATTTTATGCCCCAGCCTTTCAGAATTCCTCTAAGACAGTGCTGAGAAGCTGTTTCCTGACTCTGAGGCCCTGAGTTCACCTCAAGTCCCTCATGAGTTGCTTTTGGTAGAGTGGAGGAATGTTGTTCCTTGGCCTCTCAGGCTGCAGGAGCACTGTGATATATTTTCCCTGAACTGTTAACCATTTTGTGTTCAAAAGAAATAACCTGGTTTAGCACCAGAGGAGCAATGCAGTGAAATAATTCCTGTTAGTCTCAACTGCCCACATCACAGGGAGTTGGAATAGTTTGCTGCAACCACTGGTGTTTATTCAAGGAAGCAGTGCTGGTGTTACTGGGCAGAGCAGGAATTCTGAGCTGGGGACAGGATTTTGTGAAGTTGCACAAGAATTTATTTTGTATTTATTTAATCCAGCTTTATTGTGGGTCCAGAGTGTTTATATTTTAGCAAGACTGACATTACTCAGGTGAAAAGGCAGAGCTTGGCTCCTTTCTTTCAAGGTTAAATTTGTAGTATTCCTTACAGGATTTAGCTGTTCTATTTCCATCATAATTTTAGATCCATGGTGGTGCCAAGGAAGGAGATGAGAGTCTGCAGTTGGTCTCTGTAGCTCCTCTAAAGGGAGACTTTAATATTAAAGTTCTAATAAATATGCTGAAAAATGCCATCTGGAAAATAGGGGGAAAAATTTACAAAACAAGACAGTAGCAATCCAGAGGAGGAGAAGGGTGCTAGTTTTTTTTCAACTGAGAAAATAAACAGTAAATTTCAGACAACAGAAATGTTAAATTTTGCATTTTGTGCAAGAGCTGCCTGCTCAGTGTTTACACTGATGGATGATGTAATTTTATTTAAATTAATGGCTAAGTGCAGTCACTACCTTGCAATAAATACAAGAGAATTCTCACTGTTCATTTCTTTGCAGATGAAATCAGTCCCAAATCCCCCCCTGCCCTGTTTAACCTCCCCTATCGATTGGTGTTTGCTGTTGCTTCAGAAGATTCTGTGCTTTTTTATGACACTGAGCAGTCCTTCCCCTTTGGTTATGTCTCCAACATCCATTACCACACCCTGAGTGACATTTCATGGTAAGGAATTGTATTCCTAAGATTTATTTTGATGGGGAAATGTCCTTTTTCCATGGCCAGTTCTGCACAGCATTTGAGTCCTGCCTTGGGTTTGTATTTCATTTATGCCAGACACGTGGTCACTAAGTGTCTGAGCAGCAATCCATCCCTGTTTGCTGTGTGAATTAGAGAATTAATGGCTCTTAATCAGTTGGGTGAGGGTTGAAGTAAAATCTTGGCCTTTAATGAAAATAAATAAATCCCAAACAGGTCAAGTGATGGATCCTTCCTGGCCATTTCCTCCACGGATGGGTACTGCTCCTTCGTCACCTTCGAGGAGGATGAGCTGGGAGTGCCCCTGAAGGAAAAGCCCCAGATCCATGTCAGGACTCCTGGAGCAGCAGCAGACAAGAAAGCCAAGAAGAGCCAATCCCACAAAGTGATTTCCCCCGGCTCCAGGCTGGCAGAGGGAACCCCTCCCACCAAGGATCCCCCACTGCAACCCCGAACCCCCAGCACTGCTGGGAAGGAGCTGCCTTCCACCCCTGGAGGCATCAAAAGCACTCCAGTACCATCCCCTTCCACCCCTGGAGGCATCAAAAGCACTCCAGTGCCATCCCCTTCCACCCCTGGAGGCATCAAAAGCACTCCAGTGCCATCCCCTTCCACCCCTGTGGGCATCAAAACCATTCCAGTGCCATCCTCAGAGGAGAGGAGAAGCATCCAGGCAGGCACCCAGAGCAGCAGAGCCCCCCAGCCCAGGAGGGTCGCCCTCACCACTCTGCAGTCCTGTTTCAAAACACCCAGGTGAGATTTCTGGTGCCCCTTCCACTTGTAAATAGAAGGGCCAAGACAAGCTGTTCTTGTGCTGCATTTAAAGGCTGAGCTTTGCACAAAAATTCCCAGCCCTGGCTCTGAGTGGAAGCTCTCTTTGATTTGGAGTTTTTTTGTTGTGCTGCAAATGAGAGGTCAAAATGTCTCCTAAAGGTAGAGCTTTTAGGTTTCTTGCCTGAAATGTGAGGCAGCAAATTCACCTGAGCCTTGCCTTCATAACAGAAGGTGTCTGTCTTGGTCTTGTCTCTTCTAGCTCAGAATATTCTGGGATTCTGTCTTCAGGTCCACTTCTCTGCACAAAAATGGTACCTGAAGCCTTCAGCTGCCAGGACCTGTTTAAACACCCTTCTGCCAAAGAGTATTTTAAGAGTTCAAGTCTAGACAGGCCCTCAGTGTGGAACTTAAAACATTGATTAGGTGACTTCCTAAAAGATCTGATTTTTTAGAAATTGCCAATAATCCAGGTATTGATTCCACTGAGCACGCTGCTCCAGTGGAAGGTGGCCCTGCCCATGGCAGGGGGTTGGAAGTGGATAATGCTCCATTCACCTTGTAAAAAGAAGGGAAAATGTGCAGTAAAATATATCTGGACTACCTTTGCAGTTAAGTGATTCTATATTAATTAAATCTTGAAGTGAAATACTCGTGGAAATGATGTCTATAAAGCCATTTAACTGTTTCTGCTCTTTTAAAGGAGAATAAACTTGATTTCCTTGAAGCCAGACACCCCAGCCTCTGCATATCCAGACCCAGCCCCTGTCCCTCCCTCAGAACAGGAGCATGGTGAGTTTTTGTGGCTCTTAACACCAGCCAAGTCTCCTCCCAGTCAGATTTTTCCATTATAGGGTTATATTGTAAAAAAATCCTCACTCTAATTGCAAATTCTAAAGCTTCTTCATTGTTCTGGTGTGTCTGAGAGGTGCTTTGGGCAATATGAAATGTGTTCTCCCTGCTCTGGGGCAGCTGATGGTGACTGTCCCTACAGTTTTATAGCAGTGAAACCAAGGATAAATTCATGGGTGTGATATTCTCCAGCTTTTAAAGACTTTTGTACTTTCAGCTTATCCTTGTTGCAGGTGCTGGGCACTCTCAGACCAGGGTTGGGGTTTTTTTTTTAAATCTGAATTTATTAATTTGAAATTATTTTCCTGTCTGCTTCTTCCAGAGAAGCCATTGCCATCTGATGAGAGCCTCCAAGCTCCCCCAGCCCCAAAACGTGCCAGGACTGAGGAATTGTCCCTTCCTGCACCTGCTGAAGACCAAACCAGCTGTGAGTCCAACAAATAAAGGCTGAGCAGACCCCTCACAGCCTGAAGTCAAAGCAGCCATGTCTGAGTGCATTTCTTTTTGCAAAAATTCAATCCTCAATTCCCAGTCCAAGTTCCCTGTGCGTGTTTGATGTAGAAACATCAACATTTCTGTGAAGAAACTGCCAGTACAGGACCCAGGTTTCAGGAATGTGGTTCTGCAGCAGGAGAAATAGTTGGGAAGTACCTTCAAGAATAAGGAAATCGGGCAAATCTGGGGATTAAAAATCCATCCAGTAAGCTGTGAGTCTCCATTAGAGTCCCTAAATCCATGTTTAGAAAGCATTATGTCTTCCAGTAACTGTCTGGCAAAAAGAATCCAATGCATTCATAAGATTTGATGTGGTTCAAGACCTAAAAAAAGAGGAAATTGTGTCATTCCAGCCTTTTGGTTTATTTCTGGTGTGAAATGATGCTCCCCAGTAGCTGTGGGGTGGAGCTGGTTCTCTCTGAATGCAGCAGCAAAGCTCAGGACTGGGATGTGGAAGCAGAAATGGGAAGATTTAACTGCAAGGAACAAGAAAGCAAAAGGAAGAAATTCTCTGAAGAGCTGCTGGAAGAATGAAACAGCAGAAAGTTCTTCCTGTTTAATTTCTGGACTTAAAAAAGAAATGCAGGTGTGAGAATTTCCTGAGGCAGCAGGATTTGGGTGTGTACATTGAAATTTCCCCTTTCCTTTTCCCCCAACTTAACTCCCTTAGCCAATAAAACACAATCCAGTGGATGGGAAACTTCTACATCTAAAATTTCTTTTTAGCATTTAATGCTTCATAAAAGCAGAAATACAAATACTCCAGAAGTGACTCACAAAAGTCTCACAGGGAGGAAATATTAGCAAAAACCTCTGTCAGTCCTTCAGGCAAATGAACTCTTACTTCCAATTAAATTTCAATAATTAATAGGCAAAAAGTTGTAGGAAGCTTGATGGGATCTTTGTTTTATCACTGTGATGAGGATGGATCTTTGTTAGACTTAATTAAAGCTGGGTTTTCTTCTAGTGAAGAATTACAAAGAAATCATTCTTACATTTCTTGGGTTTCAAGTGGATTTTGGAATTTTTCAGATGGGTTTCAAACAGATTTTGTAACTTTTTAGCTGGGTGAGGATTCATGATTGTCTTGTTCTAGAAAAACTTTTTGCTGTGTAATCAATTTTTCAGATGGGTTTCAAATGGAATTTGCAATTTTTTTAGATGGGTTTCAAACAGATTTTGTAACCTTTTAGCTGGGTGAGGATTCATGATTGTCTTGTTCTAGAAAAACTTTTTGCTGTGTAATAATGGTTCATTTTGAAACAGCCACACCTTGTGCTCCTGTGCTGTTGAAGTTCTAATTCTTAGCTACCCACCTGTCAATTTATTTTGTCATTAATTAACCACTGCCTTCTGGTCAAAATTTGCTTGATCCTTGCCCATGGATTCCAAACAGACTCTGTGTTTTGTCTACACATTCCCTGTGTTTATATGAACTTTGTTAGCAAATAAAGACATAATATAATATAATATGCAATATTATGCAATATAACATAATGCAACATAATATAATAATATAAATAAAACTATAATTAAATATAAAAATATAAATAATATATGAAATATAAAGAAACAATTTATAGAACATATATAAATATTATATAAAACATAAAGACCATAAAATTAATTTTAAAAAACAAGATTTTTCAGGCATCTCTAAGTGTTTTCTGCTCTGGCAGCTGCAGGATCCTGAAGAAGAGACAGATGAATTATGTGCTAACAAAATGTCAGGAATTAAATGACATCCAGGGATGTGATTCCACCACTTCCCTGGGCATCCTTCCTTTTCCAGGAACAAAATTTTCCCTAATTTTTTTCCTAACCACAGCCCTCAAGTGCCCAGCACAGGGACAGCTTTTGGCAGTCCCAAATCTCAGTGCTGCCTGTGAAAAATGGAAACTCTGGAATTCAGGCAGGTGTGAGAGGCTCCTGATTTTCTCTGGCCACGTGGAACGTGGGAGATTGTTGGAAAGGAGGAGGGGTATCCATGGGAATGGAGGTGGCTGGGAGAGGAAAAGGGACAGGAATGGGTTAATGGGAGCTGGGATGTGCAGAGAGGCTGGGGAAGGAGACAAAATGTGTTTGAGGAGGAGTGGGTGGGAGGGGAACTGAGAGGGACAGTGGTGTCTTTGGGAATTCCTGTGCAGGACCCTCAGCCCAGTGAGGATCCTTCTTTCCCAAGAACACCTCATTTCCTAGGCTGGATTTTACTTGAGAGGTTTTTTGTGGGATTTTTTCCTCTCTGGAATGGATAGGCTTTTTTTTTTTTTTTTTTTTTTTTTTTTTTTTTTTTTTTTGCCACAAAACTCTGGTTTCCTACTCTCCTGCCAGCAGGTGACAGCATTCCCTAAAGCAAAGCAAATTGAGCAGAATTTTTCCTCGACTCCAGACTTCATCCTTCCAGACACTTTTCCTTCTCTTTATTTATTTTTTTCTACAAACTGATCATTTCAGGCTTCTTTCCACATGCTGAAGAAGCAAATGGAGTTTTAGAGGGAAGAGGAAAACACAGCAGGAAAACTTCAATAATGAACAGAGCATGGCCTCTCCTACTCAGTGAATCCAGAGGCTTTTCCAGGAGGAATTGGCACCACAGAGGGCCCAAGCAACAGATCTTGGATTAGCCATGGACTGAGGGGACACAGATTCCCAGGACTGGGAATATCCAGCAAAACCTCTGGCTGCAGGAGCAACCCACAGAGCTCCTGGCAGCCTTTATAGAGAGACTGGCATGGATTTGGGGTTTGGGAGAAAAGTCCAGCATGGGAAGAGTGTTCAGTGCCTGGAGGAGGTGACAGGAGAGGAGGGGTGACAGGACAAGGGGGAGTGGCTTTGGGATGACAAAGAGTGGGGTGAGGTTGGATATTGGGCAGGAATTGTTCTGTGGGAGGGTGGGCAGGCCCTGGCACAGGGTGCCCAGAGCAAGAGGTGTCCCTGTAATGGCAGGGGGTTGGATTTTTAAGGTCCCTCCCATCCCAAACCCATCTGTCCTTCCCAGCTATTTTCCCCTGCTTGTTCCAGACATTCCTGCTCAGATCTCTCAGCGCTCGGCAGCATTTTAACCAATCATCTCTGAAGTCAAATCCCAACATTTGGTCCCAATTATCCCTCTCCCTGAGCAGCCCCAACCCCACACAGCAGCTCTGTTCTTCCTCAGGTGTGGGATTTTGGGATGCTGTCAGGGGATCTGACAGAGCTGCCAAGGAATGAGACTGGGGATGCTGAGGTGGCTCCTTCCCAGTCCCTGTGGGAGAAGCTTTTCTATGCTCATCATCTTTGGGTCTCCCTGCAGGTGCTCCAAGCCCAGCAGAAAAGCTGGAATGGGTAAAACAAGAAGGCCAATGGCTCCTGGCCTGGATCAGGAATGGTGTGGCAGCAGGAGCAGGGAGGTCACTCTGCCCCTGCACTGGGCACTGGTGGGGTCACACCTCAAGTGCTGTGCCCAGCTCTGGCCCCTCAGTTTGGGAAGGACCTTGGGACACTGAGCACATCCAGAGGGGACAGCGAGGCTGGAGAGGGGCTGGGAACACAAACCCTGAGAGGAACCCCTGAGGGAGCTGGGGGTGCTCCCCTGGAGAAAAGGAGACTCAGGGGTGCCCTCCTCACTGTGCACAGCTCCTGAAAGGTGCCTGTGCTCAGCTGGGGCTGGGCTCTGTCTCCAGCAGCACTGACACAACCAGAGCACACAGCCTCCAGCTGCACCAAGGGAAATACAGGCTGGATAGCAGGAAAGAGTTTTTTCCAGAAAGGGTGATAAAGTTCTGGAATGGCTGCCCGGGGAGGTGGTGCAGTCACCATCCCTGGGTGTGTTTAACAAAGCCTGGATGTGGCACTGGGGGCCAGGGTTTGGTTGAGCTCTTGGGGCTGGGTTGGGCTCAATGGTCTTGAAGGTCTCTTCCAACCCAGTGATTCTGGGAATTCTGTCAACTGGGAGCAGTTTTCCCTCCTGTGGCTGCCAAGCTTCCAGCCCAGGGATGTTGGTGTTACTGAGGATCCTGCAGATTATTCCCTCAGCTGAAAAATCCCAAGAAAAGCCCCGGCCCCAAGGTCTCCGATCCTGCAACCCGAGAGGATTTGCCTCTCAGAGCATGAAGAATTAAAAAGGTTCACAGATTTCTTTTTGTCTGGAAACTGGGTATAAACCGGGGCTCTTCCAATGCCTGGGAAAACCTGATCCTGGTGCTCCTGAAAGGAGAGGAATCTGTGTCTTTTAAGTTGTTGCCATCTTTTCTGTGAGGGCTGAACACCCCAAATCTTCCTATTTTGCTCCAGTTATTTGTGTTTTCCACTTAAAATGTTTTCCTTGCTGAGAGTTGAACCAGGAAAGTTTCATTTTGAAGGGAATTATTTCTCTGTGCATTTTTCCTCCTCAACATTTGAGTTTTAAGCACAATAATGCAAAATTTTGATGCGAAATAATGTCAGGTTTTGTCTCAGCATAAACTTCGCCCCTTCAGCCACCAAAAGTAAATAAATAAGCTGGGCAGGAATTTTTGTTTTGATTTCTGCCACGCTGAAATAAGGAATTTTGAAGTGTTGTTTGCTGAGGGAAATGGAAATGGGCCAGGTTGGAATGGGAATGGCTGCGGGATCTCAGCCTGTTCAGTTGATCTCCTTCAAAATGGTACTTTGAGCTCACTGAGTGCTCCTCCTGCAAAGCAGGAGCTGCAGGAGCCTCTGGATATTTTTGTTTTCCCTTTTCCAGTGGGGTTTCACCAGCTGGATGTGCTTAAAAATAAATAGCAGGGCAGGAGAGGAGGGGTTGGCTGTGTGCTCCAATATTCCAAATGTGAAATCCCTAAAAAAATCTTCATCTCTGCTGTGGGATGGATTATTACAAGAAGGGAAAATTGATAGCCAGGAACAATCAAATCAGAGTTCTTTGACTGGATCAGCAGGAATAGCACAAAACACTGTCCTGCTGCAATATTTTACTGGATAAAATATGTAATTCTGAGCAGAGAGTGCAGGAAAAAGATGGGTTAT